TAGAATAGAGGTAAAGGTGGCGGAGGACCTGGTAAACCTAGGGGACGCGGAAGCGTTGAAAGCGGCTCTGGTGTGCCGAGTAAGGAGGAGCATCCTGAACCAAATTCAGGCGGACGAGGAGACACCATGGCCGGTGATTAAGGAGCGACTGAAGAAGGCCTTCGGAGGAGGCAGATGGACGCCGGAGGAAGACATCTTCCAAATGTTTAGGGAGCGCCGGTCCCAACGTCAGACGAGGGGCCAGTATGCGGGGGTACTAGTGGCAAAGTACAACCGCATAACGGAGAAAATGCGCGAAACAATGAGTGTGGGAGAGGTGGAAGCCAGGATGGAGTTCCTCTCGACGATACTCAAGGTCCAGTTGGCGAAGGAAACGGGAAGGAGAGACGGATTGCCCAGGGAGAGATCATTCCTCGAGTGTGCCCAGGAAATGATCGACCTAAGCGCAAGGGAAGAAGAGACTCGGATGGACGTGGAAGAACCAGGGTGGATCCGGGTGAATGACAGACGACCCCGGACAGCCCCGATGGGTTGGAAGAGGAGAGAAACGGTACAGCCGAGCGGAGAAAAGGTCAGGATGGGTGAAAAAAGATCCGGACAAGTGAGGCCGAGGAATGGACCCCGCAGGGAAGACAGGAAATGTCATGGGTGCGGAAAGCCAGGACATTTAGTTGCACAATGTCCGCGCACTAGATGTTTCGAGTGCGGTACCGAAGGGCATATTGCTAGGCAGTGCCCGTACATATTCCGGAGGAGAGAAAGAACTCAAGACGAGCCCATGGAAGTAAACACGCAGAAGCTGACAAGACGGGCTAGGATGCAGCGGAAGGACGGATCTTCGGGAGAGGCAACCGAGGAGTCGGGAACTTCGGGGACAGAGACGGACGAACCAGGTAGCAGTGGAGGCGAAGGAGGCAGGAGCAGCCAACGGACCGAGCAGCGACGAACGGCGGCGGGGAGGAGGAAGCTGGGCGGCATCTGAGGAGTGTGGCAGCAGAGAGGCGACCGCACAGCAACATGCAACAACATCCGAGGTAAGCCATGCTGGTTGCCAATTATCGAGGTAGACGGGGGAGTAAAGTGCCTCGTGGATACCGGGAGCTCGAGCACTATTATGACCAGAGGGGCGTTAGGGAAAGTGTGCGGGAGTGAGAGGGCACTCCGGATCCAAAAATGCGATTGCCAACTAATCACTCTGGGTGGCCCCTGTAGCGTAGAGGGAGAAGCGACAATAAGACTTGATCGGTGGGCAGGAAAAGAGGGCGAACTGAAGGTACACGTAGTAAAAAACATGACTCGGGAATACCAGGTCATAGTGGGGTGCGATTTGTTGGGGCAGGTAGGGGCGAGCATTAGGAATCGTAGAGGAGCCTGGAGTGTTAGGTTGGGAAAGAGGAAGTTCGGATGTATAGGGGTCGCGAGAGAAAGAAGGGTGCGGATAGGGGCGGTGAACAGAGTGGAGGACTGGAGGAAGTTGCTACAGGAGGAGTTTAGGGACATTTTCTTCAGGGAAGGTGAGGTATTAGGGGTAACAGGGAGGACGGTGCATGAAATCCCACTGAAGCAGGATAGGGTAACTTACGTGAAAGAGAGAAGATACCCGCAGGCGTTGAGGCAGCATATTCGAGAGGAGCTAGATAGTCTAAAAGAACAAGGGATCATAGTTGATAGCACCTCACCATTCAATAGTCCCCTGTGGGCGGTGAAGAAGAAGGCAGCACCGGGGGATAATAAGGAAAAATACAGGGTGGTAGTAGACTATCGTAAATTGAACGATAACACGGTAGACGAGAAGTACCCGATCCCCAGATTCGAAGATATACTGGATAGGTTGAGTGGAGCCGTGGTCTTTAGCACGTTGGACCTTAAGGCGGGATATCACCAAATACGGATGCACCCGGAAGACCAACACAAAACAGCGTTCACATTCGAAAGGGGGCATTATGAATTCACAAGAATGCCGTTTGGTCTGAAGAATGCGCCCATAACATTTCAGCGTCTGATGGACGAATTTTTGAGGGGTATCGATGACTCGGTATGTCAGGTATATATGGATGACCTGCTGATTTTTAGCAGAACGGAAACCGAACACGTGGGACATCTGAGGTCAGTATTCGAGAGGCTCCGGAAATTCGGGCTGAAATTATCAAGCGAGAAGTCTCTGCTGGGACAAACGCGGATTAATTTTTTAGGCCACACTATCTCTAGCGAGGGGGTCAGACCGGATGCGGCAAAGGTGGAGGCGATCACAAGGATGGCGGTACCACGGGACGTGAAGGGGATCCGTAGGCTTCTTGGGACGCTGAACTACTACCGGAGATTCGTACCTGAGATGGCAGAGTATTTGGTACCCATTAACAATTTGCTGAAGAAAGGCGCGAAGATTGTGGTGACACCAGAGATGGAGAATAATATCCGAAAATGTATGAATAGGTTGCTGACAGAGCCGGTGTTAGCGTTCCCGGATTTTGAGAAGCTCTTTAATATAACCACCGATGCGAGCGAATACGCGTTAGGGGCCGTTTTGTCCCAGGGGGGGAGTGAGGGTGAACGACCGATAGCATACGCGAGCCGTCGGCTTACGGGTGCGGAATCGCGATACAGCGCTTTGGAGAGGGAGCTACTCGCGATAGTGTGGGCTATCGACCATTTCAGGCCATACGTATTTGGGAGGAAGTTTCGAGTCCACACCGACCACAAACCCCTGCAGTGGGTAGGGAAACTTAAAGAAACCTCAGCTAGGGTCACGCGATGGAAGGAAGTCCTTAGTCAATACAATATAGAGGTGGTGTATAAGCCGGGAAAGGAGAACGTGGTGGCGGACTGGCTCTCGAGGGCCATCATGATCAACGCGGTAGAAGAGGACGGGGGAGGACCATCGCGAGACGTGCGCCAATTCTTGAGTGAATGGACTCCCGACGGCGAAGGAGCGGAGGATATCGTCGGTATAGATGACAGGGGAGAGTCCCCGGAAGAGGAGAGCTCAGCGGAGGAAAGAGCAGTGGAAATGGAGGAGATAGACGACATCATCAATGACAAGCATCGTCAGGTAATCTGGAAAACGAGAGTAGCAGGGATGATGAAAATAGATTATCGAAGATATGGGAAAAGCAAGATTCGCGTCATCTGGTCGCAACCCGGGGTGAGTGAAGAGCAAATTTGTACGGCACTGAAGGACGCCACGGAACCTGGAAAGACGCACCATCTTTATGTGGGGAATAACACGGTATGGGATAAAATAAAGCGGATGTGGAGATCCGAGCGAATTGGTGTGGACAGAACACTCATCCGTTGTAAGTACGCAGTGGAAACTATACAGGATGAGGAACAGCAACAGGCAGTCACATTAGCTTATCACCAGGGGAAAACCAACCACCGAGGCGTGAACGAGACACTGCAGGCATTACGTCGAAAGTATTTCTGGTGGGGCATGAAAAAATCCATCCAAGAGGTCATAGGGAAATGCGAGGTGTGTATGCGCACGAAATATGATCGACACCCCCCCAGAGGGATTCAGGAAGAGACACCGACGGGGAATATGCCACTACAGGACCTCCAGATTGATACATTTACCTGGAGAGGGTTCAAGTGGGTCACGGTCATCGACGTCTTTAGCAAGGTAGCTATGGCACACCAGGTCATGGACAAGTCTGCCAACGCAGTTGCGGAAGCCCTACAAACCTGGGTGCAGTTCTACGGGGTCCCCGAGAGGATCACATCGGACGGTGGTAGGGAGTTTGACAATGCCGCGATTAGGGAGGAGGTGAAACGACTAGGGATTCGTTGGCATTATAACACCCCGGGACATCCTAAGGGTAGAGGCGGCATTGAGCGGTTGCACAGCACGCTGAGTGATCACATCCGGGTGTATCAGGGGGAAAAAGGGTTGGAGCCGGATGTTGCAATGAAGAAAGCGGTAACAGCCTACAACCACTCGATTCACTCCGTCACGGGATTTTCGCCCGTGGAAGTACTATTCGGGATGCGCAGGCCAAGGCGAGATTGCGGGGAAACAACGGTTAATGAACCATTAGTCGAGCAAATCCAGAGCAATAGGGTGGAGATGGAAAAGACGTGGGGAAGAGTAACGGCGAAAATTAAGCGGGAAAAGGAGAAGCGGGTAGAGAGGCAGAATGTTCGCGTACGTGACCAAATGGGTGATCTAAAGATCGGGACAATAGTGTACCGTAGAGTAGGGACCAACAGAGGGAAACAATTGTTACGATACGAGGGTCCATTCAGAGTGATTGCTATTAGGGAGCATAATCTACTAACGATCGAAAGCGTTAATGAACCTAGAAAGAGGAGAACGGTTCACATTGAACAATTGAAGCTCCCAATGATAGAACCGGAACATAAACTAACGGATTCGTAGTACCCTCACCACGTTATAACAAATATGTTTTTTTTGGTTGTCTAAGCAAAAATATGGTGTATTTTTTTTTATGTGTAAATAGAATCATAGCAATACAGTAGAGGAAAGTGTATTATTTTTTTTTTTTCTTCTCTGTTTTTTTTAGGATTTTAAGAGTTCTGTTTTTGGAAGCAAGTGTTGTGGTTAGTTCTGTTTTTTTTATTTCTTTGTATTATTGTATGTCTCGAGTGAGTTTTACTTTCTTTCAACTTTATACTTGTAAAAACAATTGTAAGGTGTTAAGACTGATAATCGTTAGCTCCGATCTAGGAATATCTAAGTTTCCGAAAAATCCTATTCGTAAACTGGTGGGGGGGAGATAAAGACCGGAGACCGGCGATATCAGCCTTAATACCGTCCTGAATGTAAATAAACATATGAAATGTATATAAGGAGGATTACTAAAGGAATAAATCAGTATCTTTTCTGAAACCGTGAGTGTTGCATTTCAAGCCCTTTCCTTTCTTTTTTTTTATTGTTAGAGTCCGCCGACGCATAACTTATATATATATATATATATATATATAATTAATGAGATATGAAATTTTAAAGTTTTATAAATGAATTAATATTGCATAATACAAACCTTTAAAATCATAATTAATATTTAAATCAGTTCAAAACCAGATCCAGATTGTATAGCATATAAAAGCCTCTCCTTCATAACATTTTCATTAGTGAATTCGGGTAACTTTAAAATGTTCATACATGTACTAGAAGAAGGCAGTCTGTTGTCATCAGATTCTACTAGCTGAATACACAATGGTGGATAGAGTTCCTTAAAAATTGAAACAATTAAACAATGATATGATATGAGATGGTGAGTTTTATAACTAGCTAAATACAACATGCTTATAGTTTATTTTTCATCTAGTTCTAAATGCACTAAATCAACTAGCTAAACTATACTGCCCAAAAATGAACAGGGATATTTCTATTTGATGCTTATTTTATTTGTTTTAATTAAAATTCCCTAGTTTTTATTATTTATTAGGGATTTTCTTATTTGTTGGTAAACACAGAAAGTAAACAACAAGTATTCTTTATTTTTAATATAAATTATTAACTAAAATATAGACAACATGCTCATTTTGTACACCAATAGTTCTTTTCGACTATTCTCAATTTTAATCTAGCAACATTCTGTTTAAAGAACGAAAGATATTATATTGAACCAAAAGTTTGCATGATTATCATGAGCATGAGCGATCAAGGGCATTGGCAAGTGGATATTGCCGATGCAGTTGATGTCTCCCAGATTGTGGTCTCCCAAGCTCTAACCAGATTAAGAAAAATTGTAAGTACCATTAGGAGATCTGTTAGTGGATCTCAGCACATTATTGCACCAAGGGATTACGGTTACAGACAAGTCATGTTTCTGTATTTATAATGTAGGTGCCGAAGAGTCTACAGAGAAAAGAGGATGGGTACAATGCCACAGTTGGTGTTTCCTTCAATGCAGTCTAGAAGTGCATTACACCCAGGAGGACAGACTATTCTTGATATTGTGGAAGGTAATCTCATTGCAGTTGGTTATGCTCAAGAAATTATAGAGGAGAACATTCTTCAAACCAGGACCATAATTGCCACAGATTTCCATTTTCTAGACGACAATATGCGAACTCATAGGGAAAAAATTTGTACAACAATGTCTTGAAAATCTAGATATTTCACATATGCCCCTTCCTGTATTGTCATGAGGATGTCACTACCTGACACCTCACCGTACCCCTGTGATGGAATACTTTTTATAACCTCTAATAACCAATTGTGACTTTTTATTTAGGGCATCGTTGCGAACTTTTTAATTTTGTTTGTTTTATCGACTTTTTATAGAAATACTGAGAAATCCCAAGAAATCTCAAATTAAGGGTGTACAATACTATGATAAAACCAGTTCTAATATATGTGAGACCTGGACACTAACCAGCGCCCTAGAAAAAGTATTGAAAGATTACAGAAAAAAATCTGCTACACAATAACGGAACAAACTGGGATCAGCGTACTAACACATGGAGAAGACCATTAAAGAGCTGCTTACAAAAACTGGTCAATCAATATCTCATGATATGAAAGCACGGAAGTTGAGATTGATAGTGCAAGTAGCTAGGAGAAATTCATCTGGCAGCCTACTTCAGTCTACAAGACAATGAATGCTTCAATTGTAGGTAAAAGACCACATGGAAAGCCAAAAATCAGATTGATAGATCAAATCAACAAAGATGTAATGGCAACAGAAAAAAAAATCTATTTTTTATAGAATTGATAGAAAGGCGATGAGACAGTTCAAAAATAGAAATAGAATTTGAAAGATTGAGCACACCATCATTTAAATAGAAAGAGTCCGACAGACCTCTTGACTTATACATGAGTCCACCATCACCAGGGCCAGTTTCCGCCTCAACTCGTACATGAATCCACCTTCATTAAAGGCTTAATGGAATCAGTCACATCAAGAGTGCCTTTTAGGGGGAACATTAGACCTCCTACCACATTGATTATTTATAAAGGAGTGATCGTGAGTATCGTGATATATGCACTCCCTGCGTGGAGCCAGAATTTCTAAGAACAACATAAGAAAAGGTTGATGACAATCCAGTGGATGGCTCAGCTGGGAATAACTAGAGTGTACAGGATCATTAACACAAGATAAAGAGGAAAGGCCTGAAAGATCCACTAGAGAATCTCCAAGTGAAGATCAATGAAGATTCCATCAGATGGAAGAAGATCCTTTGGGAAAACAGATTAAAAGGATGAAACCGGTGCTGTGGGTGATGACCTCAAAGAGGACAACTGTAGGGAAGTACTTCCCCACAGTTGGTTCGATCATATGGATCATCCTAGATAACTGAATCTCATAGTTTCTCACAGGGCACAGAAGTTTCTGAGCAAAACCTGTTGAACATGGTAAGGATATTGACTCCAATGCCCTACCAAATATCACCAAGCATTCAGCACTTGCCATCATCACCTATGAGACACAGAGGGCCAAGCTGCTGAGAGAGCCAAGGAAATTCTAATGGAGAGCAATTTCTCTTAAACTATGACCGAAGAGCCAGTACTCAGATATTTGTGTATAGGTGGAAGGAAATAGTTGGTCCCACCTACTCTCCTAGGTAGGAATTGAAGGAAGGCTGCCGGACTGGGGAGGTGTGTAAAAGGACAGGGTGCAATCATCCTGTTAAGTGACACATAAAAGGATAATAAAGCTCACAAAATAAAAATTTAATACTATTTAAATTACAGCTGTGAGCAATTTCTCATGCCTAAAAGGCATGGAAGGAGGGAAAATAAATTAGTTAATATCCGGTTGCTCTTATAAAGGAAATTAACTACAAGAAGGTAATTACGAACAAGCATGAAAACTACCAAATGACACATATATTAATAAAAGGAGGCTAGCCAGCAATTTTCTCAAGACTGTGCTGTAATTCATTCCCTTTAGGAAACAGCACTATGTTGTCAATGTAAAGTATTAATTGACTAGAGTTGGTGAAAGTAAGGATTCGATTCTACATCATTAAATCTCTTAACTTAATGACTTAAAATTATTTTGACTAGTATTGTATTAAACCTCAAAACCTAAAGAGGGTTTAAGAAAAAAAAAATCCTCAACCAATGAAGTGCTTAAACCAAAGTAATTTTATTAAAGTGATTAAATTAAATTAATAATATATTAAAGTAATATTTTTTTTTAATACTAACTTATATACCAAATTGTTCATCGGAAAATACATTAGTTTCAAAAGTTTCACTGATTCTTTCAATTAATTATATTATATCTAATGAAAATAAAATGTTAAATTATTAAAAAAATATATACTTTAAAGCCTAGAAGAGGAGGTCTTGAACAACTAGTGACGAATCGCAACAGCAAACTTTTCTGAATGTTATCAAATGATTTCACTACATTCCAGAACATTACAATAGTGGGATGTTGAGCAGAATATCCACCTATCAAAAGACAAAAAAAAAACTTGAGACATGAAATTAATAAAAGCTCAATATTTATTTATTTAGTTTAATCTGGGTGCCATTTCAAACTAAATAGATTATTTGAATTTCATTTCAACATGTCTTTAAAGATTATAAACATATAATGATAAACATAGTATTAATGTAAATCAGGACTAACTTATTGCAAATCAAAATTTTAATAGATTAATTGAAAAGTACTATAAACTAAAAACAAATTACCTAGTTCTGCCATAAATACTGTTACAAAAGTTGAACTTTGTTTACATCCTTGGATGTTATTTAGATAATTCTTACCTCTATCTGGTTATTTTCATTACATGTCAGGATAATAATCCCAAATAGTTTATATTTTTCTTTCACTCAGTTAACATGGAGTGGGGTGATAAAGAAAACCGAATAGCTGTGATCGCCTACAAAGTTGGAAAATGTAGGCCAGAGATTTTCAACACTTTAAAATCTTTGGGTATCAGCAGTATGTTAGTGTACCACACTATAAAGATATAATGAGACCCTATATATATGTGACAGATCTCGACCAAGCCGTCCCCACACTGTGAGAACGGCAAATGCACTGAGAGCAGTGGCTGCTCGAATCAGAAGAAATCCCATTCGAAAACAACAAATCATGTCTCAGGAAATGGGAATCTCTGTCAGATCAACGTCTTCCATAGTAAAAATTGACCTTAGGATGGGTGCATTTCGAAGAATGACAGGACAAACGCTAACTATTCCCCTAAAAAAAAATTAGAGTGAATAGATGCAAAGTGCTCCTTGGCCATTACACCAATGATCTTCATCGAAAGATTTTGTTTAGCGATGAGAAAATTTTTACAATTGAAGAAAAATTTAATTGCAAAAAGGATCGTGTATACGCACACAGCTCTAAAGAAGTCCAGGAAGTCATTGGACAAGTGGAACTAGATCATCACCCTTCCTCAGTGATGGTTGGGTGGGGAGTTTGCTTTTATGGCACCACAAAGCTCCATATTTTTAAAAAAGGAGTTAAAACAGCTGCAAAAAACTATTAGGATGATATTTTGGAACCTGTTGTCAAGCCTCTAAATGATACTCTGTTTGCTGGAAGTCATTGAGTTTTCCAGGAGGATCACGCTACAGCTCACAATACCAGGTCAACTCAGCAGTGGCTGCAAAAGAACATTCCAGAGTTCATCTCTGCCTCGCGTTGGCCCTCAGGAAGCCCTGATCTCAACCCACTAGATTATCGGCTTTGGTCTGAACTGGAGAGAATGGCATGCCACAGAGCACACCCTAACTTGGAAAGCCTCAAACAATCTCTGGTCCAAGCAGTTGAGCTCTTTCCTCAAGAAGTGCTGCATTAAAGCAAAAGGGGGGCATTTTGAATAATTTCTGTTTTGTTTTTCTCTCTATAGATATACATTTTATTTTCTAATTAAGTTTTTGAGAAAATGAATTTTTCTGTTGAAATCTGTATATATTTCCTTGTAACAATATTTATGACAGGACTAGGTATAAAAAAATACTTCAATTTAATCATAAAACACAAATAGATGATTCATTTGACAGAAGTATTTTTTGTACATTACAGTAAATGATTCAAAACATAGAGAAGAATGTATCGAATGAGACTCCCCTATAATAATTTTAGGGTAACTTAAATGCTAAATAAAAAAAATAGAAGTTACATATAAGAGCATAAAAGCTTTTTCTTGGTGTTAAAGGTCAGTCTATACTTCAGTTATTTGAAAAAAAAAAACAACACAAAAGTGATAAGGTGCACATGGGAGATTTTTTTAAACTAGCAATGATTTTTTTCTTTATATTAGAGTACAATAATATAAATACAATAATAATACAATACAAGTACAAAAATATTCAAATTTTTAAATTTGAATAAAAAAAGTGGAAATGAATGAGTCATTTCAAAATTATAGGTTATTTTTGTCACCAAGTTTTTGAGAAAGTACCCTTCATTGTAGGAACGATTTTCACCATTGTGATGCAATGTGCCCTCTATACAATTTATTAATGTAAGGTCCATATAATAATAATGCTTATTGTTATTATTGATGCTTTGCTCTCAGGATTGGAAGGTACATAAGTAATGATTGACGACGGTCTAATAGAAGCCCTAAATGTTGAAGCGTTGTGGTCTAGAGTCTTCAAAGTACTGGAAAGACTGAAGGACTCACTGTGTCTATTAAAAAATGTGAAATTGACAAAAACTCAATCAAATACCTTGGTTACAGAATAGATCCTGAAGGGTTACATTCAACCAATGACAAGATTAGTGCAATTTTGGAAGCCCCAATACCCAATGACATTAAGGAACTCCATCACTTTTTAGGAATAGTAAATTCCTATTGAAATTTCTGCCGGATTTAGCAACAACTTTATCACCACTCTACTGTTTGCTGAAAAAGGGGCACCCATGGAATCAGTAAAATATCCAATTCATTTGACATTGGATGGATCTGATTTTTGACTGGGTGCAGTAATATACAGGAGGTGTGCAGATGGAGTAGATCAACCATTGGCGTTTTCCAGCTGAACATTGTGTCAAGCTGAGAAGTCCTAATCTCAACTACATAAAGAGGGTGCTGCCTTGATGTTTGGGATTAGTAAATTTCATAGTTCTTTGTATGAATGGAAGTTCATTTTAGTGAATGATAATCGCCAATTGATATCAATTTTTGGTCCAAAGCATGGTATCCCAATCTACACAGTAAATTGCTAGCAGCGGTGGGCACTTATTTTGTTTAACTACATATCTGATGGAGAATGGATCAAGTCTGAAAAAAATATCACCAATTGGTTTTGAGCTCCACTTCCTGGATGGTTAATATAAACTACATTTTTGATGTTGGCAATGAACTTCCATTGAATTATAGGATAATTTTGGCACCAACCAAGAAGGATGAAACCTTTATAAAGAACATTATGTTTTTAAATTTTGGATGGCCTGACAACTTTGAAACTCATTATTAACACTATTTCCAAAAGAAGGATAAGTTATTAGTGGAAAAGGATAACCTTCTATCGGGATATCGTGTTGTTGTGCTAACTACATTGTGTCAAGTGGTACTGAAGAAACTCCATGCCTCTCAAATGGGTATTGTAAAAGTAAAATCACTAGCGAGATTATACGTGTGATGGCCAAAGATAAATGAGGACATTGAAGAGATTGTGATATCTTGTCATGTGTGCAACATAACCTATGATAACCCCCCAAAGGCAGCTTTAGTACCATGTGAATAGGCAGCTAGACCTTGGCAGTGTCTTTATGTAAATTATCTGGGAAGGATATTATTTCTTTTTTATCACTGATAAAGTGATTGAAGACACAAAGTGGATTGAGGCTTTTCCTACACAATCCCTGTCCCCAAAAACCACTATGAAGATCCTGAGGCAAGTGTTTAGTTGTTTTGGTTTGCCTGAACCGTTGTTTCACATAATTATTTGTTTTTTGACAGTGAGACATTTGGAAATTTTCTTCAGCACAATGGTGTTGGTCTCTGTTGATCTGGTAATGCGCCTCATGTTACCAATAGAATTTCTCCCAGTCTGACATTGGTTGGCTGTCAGCTAAGGAACAGATTTGATCTATTACGACCACTGGCTAGGTCTAATAAAGTGCAAATGGCTCAAGAAAAACAGGTAGACGCCTATGTTTATGCAGAAAAATGGATTTCTGCATTCGTTGTTAAATATTTAGTAGCTCGAAGGCATGAAGTTTTTGTGCCATCACTGAACAGGCACTGGATCAGGCATGTGGATCAAATCCACGGCTCTTCTGCTGCATCAGAGTGCTTACCAGCTTATTCAAGTCTTGCGGAACCTGCATCAATGCAGGTGACTGATAATCCCACTTTGGAGCCAGCTCAAGAGATTCCAACCAGTCAACGTGGCACTTATTGCAGCAACAATCAAGAGGGCCAATTCAGTGAGTCACCTTACTCTCAACGAAACAGACCGAAAGATTGATTGAAGAAATGTAAATTGTAGTTATGGGATTTTTCCATTTTTAAATAATGTAATTATTTATGTTATGTTTTGTATTGCTTGTTTTGCAATTTTCACAACAATTTTTCTATTTTGACAGTTAGAGGGTGAAGAATGTGATATATAGGATAGAGATTTTTATTGATTTGATGTATCAATTGTTAACAACAGAGTAACCTGCTTAGAGAATTATTAACACACATGTTTTAAGTTAGTGTGCTATTGTGTTCAATTAATTTATTTAAGTTAAAACCTATTGTATTAATCTTATTGTAAAGATATTACAAAAATAAAATTAATGCCTTTATGTAGTTATGAATGCATGCAAATTATATAGGTATAAAAATGAAGACCACAAAAACTAATTTAAGAGGTAACATAAAAGAAGTAAATAAAAAAATCAATATCTTACAACAGAAAAATTAAATACTCATATAAAAGTTAAGAGATAATAAAAAGAATCTTAGGTAGCTTTGAAATATATTTCTACACCTCAATAATTATACCTGAATAAACTGTATGTTCTTTCATGTCATCAACATCTATAGGGGATTTATTTCCCGAAATAATTAATTGTAACTCCCTTGTCGTAAACATTCGAAGCCAATCTAATGAGATTATGCTTTCTAATCCCTAAAAACAGAAAAATATAATCATTTTAATCTATTTCAAAAAAGAATAAGGTTTATTTAAATTTTATTACTGTAGCTCCTCTCATTCTCTCCACATACACACACATGCACGCACGCACTCACACACATATAATCCTCAAGACATATAATCTATTCCAAACCAGATTTAACCTTTTATTAATAATATTCCATTTTTCACTACTTTGTTATCCAATTCAGTCTTTGCGCTACATTACTAACCTCAAGAGCCTTGGTATAAGCTATAGAAAGGTGAGTATATCTGTGAAAATTTTTCTAATATTGGAATTCTTTGCTTTTTTTCAGATGTTAATTTAATTTAACATCCCATATTTCAAGATTTTTTTTATTTCTATTTAATGTTACTTCTATTTCAAAAAATGAAAAAATATCGTATTTTTGATCATTATTTGCGGATAAATAGAGTTCTGCCCAATCAGCTAAAGCCCAGATGGTATGCAAGGATGTTATGGTACTGTTTTGCATCCAGTTTTCCAGATATTCACAAGAAGTCTCCAACTACAGATCCAGAAACACACCATGCAAACATTCATCTGAAAATTCAACTTCCGGAACCAAACATTTCAAATTTTGACTCATCTCTCAATAAAAATTAGTTTCATTCTTTTTTCATCCAATTTTTGTGTTGTTTGGCAAACTTAAGTCACTTTCACTTGTTTAGAGATTGAAAAACTTCTGGTAACATGATCTTTAAGGCCAAATGATAATTTTCTTCTGATCAAGCTGGAAGAAACTTAGTTCCATATAATTTCAGCTAGATTTTTAGTGGTTTTGAAAACAATAATTTTAAATGTTGTTCAGTAACAGAACGATGCACTTTTGGACCGGAATGTTTCAAGTCTCCAGTTTAATTGGTTTTTAATAACTTTTTGATGAAATAATGAATTTCAGTAACCAAACCTTCAATTTCCTTTTGAATTTTCCTGATTGTAAGTCTTTGTTGAATATAAAAGTATATATTTTATGTTGGCCAAAAATATATTTGATCATTTTGTAAAAAAAAAAAAAAAAATGTAACATTAATTATAAAACAAATAGAAATTATGAAATATGAAATGTTAAATTAAATTACCGAAAAAAGCAAATAATTCATTATTAGAACAATTTTTTTAGATACACTCAACTTTCTAGAGTTTATACAACAGCTTCTGATGTTAACAATAATGGGTGAAGACAGAAGTGGCTAACAAAGCAGTGAAATATGAACAATAAAGTAGCATTATTCATAGGACATAGAAAATTCAACACAAGAGATACGTCACTTGGTTTGTTATTAATTAAAAATTATGCTAATTTAAATATATAGATAGATAGAAAGAAAGAAGTATGTATATATTACATCTACAATGTCTGCATGGTCAAATCAGTTTACAAATAGGAAGATAAAAACAGTTTTGAATTGAAACATTTATCATTTTTATAAAAATATGGTTTGTTCGAAGACTTAAGTATATATAACTGCTATATGTGTATATGTATATATATCTACTTTGGTTGCAAAATTGATAGTATTTTTGTCAATTTAATAAGAACACTCAAATAATTAAACTTAATAACAGCTCTCTTTACTTAGTTAATTTACACATTTAATAGTTCAATTAGAGAGATGGAAAAAAATTCATAAGTTATTGAGATAGTAATTGTCATCAATTCACTAAAAATATGAAAACAAATCTGGTGTGATGGTTATTTGGACTAAGGAGACCTCAAAACATGTATTTTTGTTGAAATAACATGTTGAAAACTCAGATTTGAAAATTTTCAAAATCGCAATACTTTCCCATACTATATATTACCTATATAGGTAAATGAAAGTAAAATACATATAATTTGAAATTACTGGAATACTTGTATAAGACCAGTATTTAATGTATCTCAAAAAGTTATAAAATTGATATAATAATAGATACTCCTACTAAAGTAAATAAGTATAATAATATAATTTTTGGAATGATATTTATAATCAACAATTGAATTATTAAAATTAATAAGTTAAAGCAGAATATAATCATACAGCAAAAAATGATTTAGTCTGTTCTTCAATTTGTCTATATGCTTTATACTGGGCCACCAAATGTATGTATTCAAGGACGTTTTCCTCATTTACAGGTGTATTTCTTCCATTTTGTTTCAGTTCAATAGCCTGAAATAAAAAATTATTATTTAATAAAGAATAAAATTAAGAAATTAATTTCTGTTCATGTAGGGTTAGTTAATATTAAATTATTTGAGTCTAAACTTTATAAAACTAAAGCAAAGTTATTACCATATGCTTTCTCACCCATCACATCAGTTAAGTATATTAGTCCATGGTGCAGACTCTACCCATCATATCAGTTAAGTATATTAGTCAATGGTACAGACCCTTATTTATCAAATAATGAATATCTGCCTGAAACTTTGTTAATAGCTTCATCTCATCATAACTGACAACTTTTTTATTTATGAAAATTCTCGGAATTGGGGCATTTTCAATCTGGAGATCAGCAAATTTGGATATTTAATTAGATACTAAAAACTCATGAATACCCGTTTGCTTTCCACTTGAATCACAAAATAATATGATCACAAAATCGAGATAAAAGGTGGCCTACAAAAATATTGGTCCGTTTGGCGTGACCTTTGCCCCAACATGTCAAAATAACGAGGCTATATAGGCCAAACGGTCGAATATTTTTGTAGGCTACCTTTTTTCTTTCTTTTGTTATTAAATTATCTTACAATTTAAGAGGAAAGCAAATGGGTATTTATGAGTATTTAGTACCTAATTAAATAAATTAATTTAATGAGAAAACACTCTATTTCTGAGAATTTTTATAGATAATATACCTAGGTTGCTATAAGATGAAGCCATTCACAAAGTTTTAGACGGATGTTAATAATTTGATAATCCATTTTTGGTAATTTTCTATGACAGTCTACTACTCCACATATTAAGTTTTCTAAAATATTTAGTATTTTAGGAGTATATTATACTTCTATATTACTATTCTTATTTTCTGAAATGCATATTTAACCTGAGAATTCCTCATTACTAGTAATAATGAGGGATAGTTAATTATTTCAAATAACAAAAATTTCCAATGGTAAAATACAGTCCTCGGAACAAATGCAAACACCTCAATGTACTAAAACTAAAAATGAAGGAAGGAGATGGTCTGGGGTTGCGGTCATAAATAGGCTAAATAGTGGTAAAACTATTTTATTGAAAGCCGACGTTTCGACCCGACTTTGCAGGTCTTCATCAGGGAGGTGTGTTCATCTAGGAGTTTCACCTAGAACTACTTGGAGATATTCAAATCAGGTCAATTTTTGATCCCTTGCTCCAGGGCTATAAGATATTAGTGTTGTTAATCTACAACTTTTGTAATACCCTAGAATCTTCTAAGAACTTTTACTAGGAAGTTATTCCTGGTTCTTAACAAAAGCAAGTATATTTTGATAAATATTAGTAATAAAAAGAATTAATAGGCAATATATGAATTAACATGTTTTAATACGATGGAATCATAAATTGTTATAAAATATCATTTTTAAAACTTAAAAAAAATAAAATTATGCACTTACCCTACTTTCTCCAAAATCATTCAGCGTTAAAGTGAAATCCAATCCTAGTTCAGATAGATCTCCTTTATAGCAGGTTAGAGAAATTAAGTTTTTATAAAGATCAGGATCTAGTGTGGCCAAACCATTTATATATAATTCATTAGAATGACCCATGATTTCTGACAAAAAGAAATCTGCTAGTGGAACTTCAACTAAAACGTTCTCAAACAATGCCTGAAAAGTTTAAAATGTTGTTAAAGAAAGTTAAATTTGATTTGAAAAGGGTTATATTTGAAATGGAAAAAGTTACGTTTGAAATGGAAAAAATTACAATTAAAATGAAAACATTTACAATTGACTATGAAATGCTACATTAACTATTTAGGAGATATAAAAATGACTGATATACAAAGTAAAAAAATTAGGATATTTATTAATCACCTATGTTGCTAACTCTAAAGATTTTCCAATTATCATTGACAAGGAGAAAAAGGATTTTTAGGACTTCATGTGAATGTGGCAAGGTCTACCCTGTGGAAGAGGATAACAATGGACACCATTAATTTATCTTTAACCCAAATACTAAAAATCAACAGATAGTGTAATCAAAATAGCGGAACCATTCATAAATTTATCAAGAGAAAAAAATACAAGTACAAGAACCAACAAATATTAAAATTAATCACATGTAAATCATTTTAGACAATACTAAAACAAAATAAATTATTTTTTTTATAGCTACTATAAAAAATTAATTATCGGACAGATTAAAAAAATAATAATAAATAACATTTAAATCTTACTTTTCCGAGCATCTTTCCAATAAAGAAATAATGAGTTCTAAAGTCTTCACAGATTATATGAATATTTGGGTTAGGATAAAACTCATTATCACGATTCAAAATAAAGAATCCTCGATTTGGATCAAACGCAGTTTTTAAAAATTCCATGATAAATTCCCTGAAGAGTCCTCCACCATCAATACCAGGTTCTTCAACACCTAGTGAACTAATTAAATGCACTTTAAGATGTATTCTGATTTCAGGCTCTAAAATTTCAAAAGAAACAACAAATACATTAACAATTAAATTATCTTTCTTTTTGTGAATTTATATAGGGTGTTTCAGAGTTAAGTGGCTAAACTGAAAAAATGAACTAAGGACCTCAAAATAAGAAAAAAATGCCTCTGAAGGTATGTCCGCAAACGTTTTGTTTAGGAGATATTCACACCTAAAGACTTTCGTTGTTATGAATTATTTACATTATAAAAAAAAATTTATGAAATAAATAAAACCTATTTATTTGTTTTAACTACTTTATTAATTAAATGTAAACATTAACATTCATATTAAATGTTCAAAGTGAAGGTATGTCCGCAAACGCTTTGTTTAGGAGATGGATTAGATAGAATACTAATATAGGCTTTTATCCCTAAATGTATAAAAACTAATGGCAACATAAGAATTAATGTTATTTGGAATTAGCATTGCGGACTCTCAATAATATTTATCGGTTTGTAAGAGGCTTTCACAGAGTACTCATCATTATGCCTTCCATTTATACTACTGGTAAATATGCCGATATGGTGTTGTATATGGTTTTTGCAATGCTAATGCTAATGCTGCCCGTCATGAATATGCCAGGCGACTTCCGAATAGAAGATAACCAAACAAGTCTATCTTTAGCTCCACGTTTCAACATTTTAGAGAAACTGGTACATTTGCTATAATACCACGTGCTGATGGTATTTTTGCCCCTTTACAAAATAAAGAAAGGAGTGCGACCATCTTAAAAATTTTTGATGATAATTCATCTGGCAGTGTACGAAGAACTGCATCAGAATTAAATATTACGCCAGCTACAGTATGGAGAAATCTCACTGCAGATGGACTTCACCAGGTATCATTATCAACAGGTACAAAATTTATAACCATACGATTTTTGACAAAGAAGAAATTTTTCAGATTGGTACTTAAATCAAGTGGATCATAATCCACAATTTTCAGGAAAAATAATCATCTCTGGTTGTAGGAAAATCACCATGCAATTCGTGAGCATCATTTTCCGCACCAGTTTCAGTGCAATGTGTGGTTGGAGATAATGGCCAATATTTTAATAGGTCCGTGTTTCTTCCTCGACTCAGTGCGGGCACATTTCTGGAATTTCTTAATAATGATTAATATAATTTAGTTGAACATATTCCACTACAACTGAGAAGGGACATGTGGCTTCAATTAGATGGTTGTCCTGCACATTATGGAAGAGGTCCATGACAATGGCTTAATGTTAATCATCCCAATCAATGGATTGGCTGTGCAGGACCAGTGGCTTGGCTTGCACAATCTCCAGACATGACACCACTGGATTTTTTTGTTAGGTGTGACATTAAACAAAAAGTCTATGCAAGACCGGTCAATTATTATTATTAAATGGCACTACATCCCAATTATTCGAGACTGGGCCTGCTCCAGCATGGATCTCCAGTTCTCCCGGTTAGTTGCTGCAGCCTTCTAATTTCTGATACCAAGTAGTCTACATGCATCAGCAGCCACACAGTCTTGCCAGCGCAAACATGGTCTTCCCACTCGTCTGTTTCCAAACACAGGCTCATTCATAGCTCTCTGTGGGGGGTGCATTCATATCCATCCGCGAGACATGTCCCGCCCAGTCTTGCCAGTACGGTGAATTGGCTCACATCCAGGTCATTAAACAATGTCTTTATTTCCAAATTCGTTCTCCTTCTCCGATTCTGTGGTGTTTCCTGGACCCCTCCAAATATGCATCGTATAATCCTCCTTTCAAATCTGAGCAGGGATTTCTCAACTGCTTTAGTTAAGGTCCAACTCTCACAGCCATATGTGAGCACTGGTCTAATATATTCTTATTTTGGCCTGTTTTGACAACATTCTACTGCGAAGATGTCTCTGGAGGAAGAAATAGCACCCATTAGCCACTGAGATCCTCCTGTCTATCTCACAATCAATGTTATTTCGATGCAAGACCGGTCAATGACCTTAATTCCTTACAAAGAAGAATAATTGAATCTTGTGAAACAATAACACATATGCAGTGCCGTTCTGCCACTGCTGCTGTTGAAGAAAGATGCCAAGCCTGTCTTAATGCTCAAGGAAATCACTTTGAACAATATTTAATGTTTACACTTAATTAATAAAGTAGTTAGAACAAATAAATAAGTTTTATTTACTTAATATAACATAAATAATTCATAAAGGAAGGAGATGGTCCGGGGTTGCGGTCATAAAAAGGCTAAATAGTGGTAAAACTATTTTATTGAAAGCCAACGTTTCATAATAAACATAAATAATTCATAAAGGAAGGAGATGGTCCGGGGTTGCGGTCATAAAAAGGCTAAATAGTGGTAAAACTATTTTATTGAAAGCCAACGTTTCGACCCGACTTTGCAGGTCTTCATCAGGGAGGTGTGTTCCTCTAGGAGTTTCACTTAGAACTGAAGTTTTGAAGTTTCACTTCAGTTCTAAGTGAAACTCCTAGAGGAACACACCTCCCTGATGAAGACCTGCAAAGTCGGGTCGAAACGTTGGCTTTCAATAAAATAGTTTTACCACTATTTAGCCTTTTTATGACCGCAACCCCGGACCATCTCCTTCCTTTATAATGCAACGGTCAACCATTAAATATTCAATATAAATAATTCATAATAATGAAAATCTTTAGGTGCGAATATCTCCTAAACAAAGTGTTTGCGGACATACCTTAATAGGATTTTTTTTGCTTGTTTTGAGGTCCTTAATTCATATTTTCAGTTTGAACACTTAACCCTCAAACGACCTGTATATATATATATACAGACTTACTATAACAGGCCTAAAGTGGTTATAACACTACCTAAGTTTATGAAAGTCAGATTTTTAAATTGATCATGGCATAATAGCACCAAATGACAATTTTGAATTACAAGTAATAAGTCGAAATTGTGTTGTCTTTCTTCTACTGTTAGTAATACATAAATATTGTTTTGAATTTTCTTTTCCTTCTCTATGTGTTTGTCTATTAATATTTAGGCAAATGGAAAAAACATGCAAGTAAACTCATAACATAATCATAAATATGCATGATAGAAGGTAACTGTACACACACACATATTATTGGAAGTTGGGACTTATTTCTGGTGTGCTGTTAAACCAAGATATGATTTCTTATTGTATATTATACACGGTGGGCCAGACCCCCTTACCGTGCACCCCCCCCACATCCCTATAAATTGCATATCGTTGTGTTCCTTGTAACTATTTATTTAAAAAAAGCCAATGTTCCCACAAAAAAAAGTGAACGCACTGCTCCAAAATGGCGTCCAAAGATGGCGGATTGACGACTTTGACTTTAGTTAGTTTTTTGGTCACTGCGAATCACCATTTGGCTTAATTTCCTCATACTTGGTCTTTTATTAAAGCTGAATAGTCATAGAATAATAAACCATGAAGAAATATTAAAAAATAATTGGCTTAGGCTATGAAAAACACTACTAAAGTCAAGATTTTTAACAAAAAAATTTTGAAGTTAAAAATCAAGCGTCATTTGTAATTAAACGGCCTACAATAACGCAAAACGTGCTTAAACAAACCATCTGGAGAATATATTTTTCTTTCCAAAACGCTGATTATTTTTTAAAAACTTTTGAACAGTTCCGTAGAAAATGCACTTATGCGGCAGAAAAGCGGTACTGGCGTGGGTGCCTACAGGCCTCTACCACACCATTCAGTACACATAAATGGCTTAGTTAAAGTGATATAATAACATTTTTGGTACATTAGATTGGTTTTATTAACGAACAAATATTAATGCAATAATTTAATTGTAAAAAAAAAAAATTAAAATTTTTTAAAAAAATTTAATAAATTTTTTTTTATTTAACCTTCTTTATTCTACACGTAGGTCGTTTAAGAAGACCTTGATTGTAAAAATGATATAATTATAATAATAAAACTTAATTAAAAAAATTTTCTAAATATCTTGATTTTTTTTTTTATTTCACGTTTGCAATTTAACATTTTGTTTTGTATATTTACTGATTCTTAAAGGTAATTAAAATTTATATATACTTCCCAGGAAATGAGTCGTATTAATACCTGTTTTATAAACTAAAATAATATATACCTAATCTGAACTATATATAATGAATAGCTGCTGGGTTGTATAGTAAAACTTATATATCACTAATTAAAAAATTAATTTTTATTTCCTTTATTTTGTGCGGAAGTTGGACTATATCATAAATAAATAGGAAATTTTATTATTGAATGAATTATTCTCTCTGCACAAAGAAAGATAGAAACGGTGACGCTATAAGTTCTTCTATAAGCCAGAACTGATTGTTTGGATTTGGTCTTGAAATGAGGAAAAAGGCGAAATTGAACCCGAAAACTGGAAAAATACATTAAGCGAACGAGAAAGGAAGTGCCAAAACCTCGGAAAAGATAAAAAGTACCAGTATCCATTATATGGCTAAACGAATGTATAGTAGACAGATGAAGAGAATATTTCAAGATGCTGCTACAAGGAATCAATTGCAGTTTGGATGATATTAAGTGAACGATGTAGGTTTATTATGGTAAAAACCACTTTATTTTCGATTGCTGAAGGTGCACATCGGGACTATCTTCACTTTGAAGCAGTATATAGAGATGTATATCGAGAAAGTTATAGCTCATAGCTCTCCTTCTGCTTAGTGCATTTGCAACTTCTCTTCCAATGTGCAACTTGAGTTTCTCAATCCATATCGCTCTGACAATCGACAATATTTCTTATTCCAGCTTCTACGATTCTTGAGTATAATCTGTTTGGTACACTAAACAGGAAGGATCTTGATGGGTATTACATTAAGAATCGTAGAAGCTGGAATAAGAAATATTGTCGATTCTCAGAGCGATATGGATTGAGAAACTCAAGTTGCACATTGGAAGAGAAGTTGAAAATTGATACTGGCTTCACTTTAAGGCAGGTTATAGAGAAGTCTATATACAACGAAAAATATCTCTCTATCTCCTTAGTGCCTTACTCTTTGGATTGTGCTAATATCTAATTGTCTTTCAGAAAAGCAGGTTTTCCTTTCAGATTCCTTAAAAAATCGTTTGTAAATGCACTAAGCAGAAGGAGAGCTATGAGCTATAACTTTCTCGATATACATCTCTATATACTGCTTCAAAGTGAAGATAGTCCCGATGTGCACCTTCAGCAATCGAAAATAAAGTGGTTTTTACCATAATAAACCTACATCGTCCACTTAATATCATCCAAACTGCAATTGACTCCCTTGTAGCAGCATCTTGAAATATTCTCTTCATCTGTCTACTATACATTCGTTTAGCCATATAATGGATACTGGTACTTTTTATCTTTTCCGAGGTTTTGGCACTTCCTTTCTCGTTCGCTTAATGTATTTTACCAGTTTTCGGGTTCAATTTCGCCTTTTTTCCTCATTTCAAGACCAAATCCAAACAATCAGTTCTGGCTTATAGAAGAACTTATAGCGTCACCGTTTCTATCTTTCTTTGTGCAGAGAGAATAATTCATTCAATAATAAAATTTCCTATTTATTTATGATATAGTCCAACTTCCGCACAAAATAAAGGAAATAAAAATTAATTTTTTAATTAGTGATATATAAGTTTTACTATACAACCCAGCAGCTATTCATTATATATAGTTCAGATTAGGTATATATTATTTTAGTTTATAAAACAGGTATTCATACGACTCATTTCCTGGGAAGTATATATAAATTTTAATTACCTTTAAGAATCAGTAAATATACAAAACAAAATGTTAAATTGCAAACGGGAAATAAAAAAAAAATCAAGATATTTAGCAAATTTTTTTAATTAAGTTTTATTATTATAATTATATCATTTTTACAATCAAGGTCTTCTTAAACGACCTACGTGTAGAATAAAGAAGGTTAAATAAAAAAAAATTTATTAAATTTTTTAAAAAAATTTTAATTTTTTTTTTTACAATTAAATTATTGCATTAATATTTGTTCGTTAATAAAACCAATCTAATGTACCAAAAATGTTATTATATTACTTTAACTAAGCCATTTATGTGTACTGAATGGTGTGGTAGAGGCCTGTAGGCACCCACGCCAGTACCGCTTTTCTGCCGCATAAGTGCATTTTCTACGGAACTGTTCAAAAGTTTTTAAAAAATAATCAGCGTTTTGGAAAGAAAAATATATTCTCCAGATGGTTTGTTTAAACACGTTTTGCGTTATTGTAGGCCGTTTAATTACAAATGACGCTTGATTTTTAACTTCAAAATTTTTTTGTTAAAAATCTTGACTTTAGTAGTGTTTTTCATAGCCTAAGCCAATTATTTTTTAATATTTCTTCATGGTTTATTATTCTATGACTATTCAGCTTTAATAAAAGACCAAGTATGAGGAAATTAAGCCAAATGGTGATTCGCAGTGACCAAAAAACTAACTAAAGTCAAAGTCGTCAATCCGCCATCTTTGGACGCCATTTTGGAGCAGTGCGTTCACTTTTTTTTGTGGGAACATTGGCTTTTTTTAAATAAATAGTTACAAGGAACACAACGATATGCAATTTATAGGGATGTGGGGGGGGGGGGTGCACGGTAAGGGGGTCTGGCCCACAGACTATTAAAGTATTTTTTGAAGTTGGTTCCCTGATTTGTTTAAATTATTCCATGATAGAATAATGTAAACATATAACATACAACAATAATATAATATACAATCTACATAATTCTATCTATGTACCTTCAGTGCAAGATACATATATACAGTCTCTGGCTGGCATCAGTCACAGAAAATATTTGAAGCTATTAATTTTTAAGTAATCTAACACTAAGATTAAAGATTAAAGAAGATTAAAGATTCTGTAAAATAATGAAACCTTATAAATGGTAATCAGAGACAATGAAAAATGCTTTATTATGTCTAAAAAGAAAATAGTGCCACAATTTTTATCCATGAAGATTCTGCATATAAAATAAAAAAATCATATCTAAAGGAGACAATGCAATAAAAAATGTTCTTGAAGTTTTTTTTTTGTTTTTTTCTTATGCCAGTCTTTGGTCATTCGGCCATCCAACATCTTGCTTCCCAGTATAATTTAGATTTTTTTATATGTATATTTAAAAATGTCTTTTCCCTTATGTCCGTCAAGGCAGGGCATGTGTCTGGATGGTCTGCATCCATTCTTCCTTGATGACACAATTTACAACTAGGATCCTCAGCCACGCCTATCTTGTGGAGATGACTCCCTAAGATAGCTGCCCCAAAGCTATCCACAATACATGGCAGCTTGAATGTCTTAAGATTTCATTAACTGGTGCTATGATTAGATCATATTTGGCCAGCAATGAAGCTAATAAAACCATAACTAACAGGAAAGTTTCTTGGTGGAATGGAAGTCTAACAAAGCAACAAACACTCACAAGGAGATCATTTAATGCTGCAAAAACATCTGGTAATAGGGATATCTATAAGAAAGCTCTTATTGAGTATCACAAATCTGTGAGGAAAGCCAAATGACAAATCTGGAAAAGGTTTTGTCTGGAGGTTGATAACATTCCGGCGGTATGTAAAGTAAATAAAATACTGTCAAAACAAACGAATTCAGGTATGATGGGAACGCTCAAACATGAGGAAAAATTTACCACAAATGAAATTGAAACGTTGAGTGTAGTAGCTAAAGCACACTTCCCAAAATGTTATATGACAGTAACAGAAACTCTTGATCCCACTACACAGGATCGTGGTACTGGCGCACATATGTGGTACTAGGCAACAAGAGTGATTACGAACAGCAGACTTGAATGGCAGTACATTCATTCTCTTCTTTTAAGTCTGCTGGAACTGATGAGATCTTTCCGGCACTGCTGCAGAAGGGTCTCTCAGAGATAAGGCCATATCTATTTGAAATACTAAGAGGTAGCCTAGCACTGGGATACATTCCAAAACCAGGAAAAGAATCTTATGAAGATCCCAAGGCATTTAGGCCAACATGTCTGTCATCTTTCATAATGAAGACATTGGAAAAGATACTTGATAGACATATTAGGGAACATATATTGGCTACAAGCCCAATACACTCAAAACAATATACCTACCAACCAGGGAAATCCTGTGAGGTGGCGCTTCACAACTTGGTAACAAGAATAGAACAATCCTTACAACAGAGAGAAATCATGATAGATAGGCGTCTTCTTTGATATCGAGGGTGCCTTTGATAAAATTCCCTATAACATCATAAATGATGCACTAAGGAAGAAAGACGTAGACTCTATATCCTCAAGATGGATTGCGAGGATGCTAGAGGATAGAGTCCTAAAATCGGAACTAGGGCACAAGAAACTATGGATTGAACCTTGTGGTGGCTGTCCACAGGGAGGTGAGATCTCCCCCTTACTGTGGTGCTTTGTGGCTGACTCATTGATGGAAGCCCTAAACACTGCAGGTATATACGCGCAAGGATACGCAGATGACATTGCTATCCTAATAGGAGGGAAACATCAGAATGTCCTCTCTGATCTCCTCAACACAGTGTCTAACATTCTTAGGAATTGGTGCAGGACTAACGGACTAAGCATCAATCCTATGAAAATTAATGTGTGCATCTTCATATCTACATATTATTTGAATGGAAAGATGGAGTAATATGTAATCATATTGCCCTAAACATTAAAATTCATTAAAGCAGTTTTATCTAGTGTTATGATCAAACTTATAAATCATACTCACCAAAACATATTTTTTCAAAAGCATCTTCGTATAAATAATCACGCCTGATTCTTACAAGCAAGTGCGGAGCTTGAAGAAAATGCATTGCTGGATTTTGAAACTCCAACTTGTTTTCAGCAATGTAACTTTGATAAAAAGTAAACCGTTTAATAAATCCAACAGTAAATGGTAAAGATCTGATTGTTGTAAGATATCGATTTTCATAAACTGTAAAAGACCGATAAATCTTTCCTGAAAATAAAGATAGCAATGAATTAGAGATGTTTGAAAGAAAAAATTAATTTAAAAAAAATTAAATGGGTTATATTATAATGGAAGTAAATAAAGGAATTGATGAAGAGAAAAAAAAAGAAGTGTTAAACTAGAAAAAAACAAAAAAACAAGCAAAGTCCTATGAAAAAGCAAGACCAATCAGTAAATAACCTAAAAAGTCAAATAAATTCTTGATCATTATTATTGATTATCATAATCAATGATTATGGCATTTAGTCCACTTTTTAAGTTGTTGACAATGGTATTTAGAAACAGCAATAAAAAATAAAATTTATTCTGGGACGAAATCCCGTTAGAATAACAATAATGAACAATTAAAAAAGAAAAATACATATCCAGCCAAAAATTAATTTAATATAGGTTCAAACAATATGTACAATAATTTAAATAATAGTATGCAAACAACTAAAAAATAAAATAAAATCTTCTCAACAATACTTATAGTTGTACCGTAAAAAAAAAATTACATACACAGAAAGAAAAAGCAAAACCTCCAGAAAAGATGAGAAACAGTATCACAATATTGCATTAATAATAATTTTTTATTTTATTTAGAAATATAATAATCTGTCACGTGGACAATAATTATAGTGATATATGAACACATTCTCACCATATATACAGAAAATATAAAATTAACAAAAGTAAAACAATAACTAAATAATAATCAAACACTATGTATAATAAAAAATAAAATAAGCTAAAGATAAGAAAATTAAAAACAAAAAAACACAGTCATGCCTACAATATATACAATCAGGCAGGGAACCCCAAGCTAGGCTTCTCCCTCCAACTATAGAAGGAAAAGCAGGACTCCAAGAGATCCCTGCGCTATTCTCTTAACCACATCACTGGTGCTAAAGCCAGGGAAGTTTGAGCGAGAGTATACACCACATACACTCATGTCTTGAGTGGAGAATCTGGCCATTACCAAACTCCAAGATATATATTACAAAAGATCTCTTTGCTTGTAAGGATGGATTGTAAGGATGAGTGGAACTAGATAGGGATTGTGCTAGGGGATTTGGATGATTTATAAGGTTCTGATGGAATTTGAAAAAACTTTCAGGGATAAGGTAATGGACAAATGAGATATCAAGGTCATGATGTAGGGTTTTGTTGGTTACATAGAACGGAGCATCGACTATTGTTTGGAGGACTTTGGACTGAAAAGATTAGATGCGTTTGATGTTAGAAAATTTTGTTGTCCCCAAAGTTCAAGTCTGTAGGTCCAAATAGGTTTCAGGATTGTCTTGTAGATAAGTAATTTGTTGTCAATTGAAAGCTGAGATTTTCTAGTCAGTATTCTGTGTAGTTGGGCGTATCATTGGTTAAGTTCTTGTCTTTTGAGTCTAGTATGTAGGTTCCACGTTAGTCTTCGGTCTAAGAGAAGCCAAGATACCGGACTGCACATTTCAAATACATAAAATCTTGTAAATAGAAAAAAAAATGGATAAAAACAACAAACAATTTCTTATTTTTTTCTTCATCACAGTGATATGTCAAAACTGATCTTTTCTTGAAACTGAATATTTAGTGATACTGAATTTTTTCCATAGATGATAAACAATAAAAAAAAAAATAAATAAATAAAACAATGGTGTATGAAAAAAAAAAAAAACTATAAATAACCCTTGTTACATGGTACATAATTAACCAGCGTCTGATTGGATTGTAAAGAGGAATTGGAAGAAGAGGGTTTTGAATATCGAAGTGCAGTAGAAAAACTAAAGAATGCTAAGTCAGCCGATAGAGATGGTATTGTGCCAGAATTTATTAAATACAGGGGACCTGAACTGATGAAAGCCCTACAGTGCCTCTTTCAAGAAGTACTGACTAAAAAAGTTATTCCAGAGGATTGGAAATATAATGTTAATGTTCCAGTACATAAGAAAGGAAATACTAGCGAAAGTGGAAATTACAGACCTATTTGTCTTTCACAGGTTGTATATAAGATATATACTTCAATACTGAAGAAGAAACTTAGAGCAATGGTGGAGGAACATTTAAAAGAGGAGCAAGCTGCTTTCAGAGCTCACCGTCAAACCCAAGACCACATATATTCTTTAAGGACAATAATCGATAAGGCTTGGGAAGGGAACAGAAATTTATTCCTCACATTCTTGGATATAAAGGCTGCATTCGATTCCGTCCCTAAACAAGAACTATGGAAGGCCCTGATGGACAAAAATATTCCACGAGGATTGATAGATGCTAAAAGATCCACGTATTAGGACTCAAAGGGCATAGTTAGAATAAATGGAATTGAGTCCGATATCTTTGCCATGAGTAAAGGTGTTAAGCAAAGAGACACCTTGAGCCCCCAACTGTTCATTATATATATGGACGAAATTTTAAAGGTTTGTAAACGATGAACAGCGCAAACAGTTGTAGGAAAATGGAACATGAGGACGATATTGACGCAAGTAATGGTCTTTGCAGATGACATCGTTCTCATATCAGACTCAAAGGAAAATCTGCAGCAAGCTGTGATCAAATGGGAGGCTGAATTAGCAAGAAAGGGTATGGCAATTAATGTCGGAAAGAGCAAAGTAATGCAGATTGGACGGGATCAGGAGGTTGTTGAAATTTATTGCAAAGGAGAGGTACTGAGCATGGTGGAGGATTACACATATCTAAGTGCAGTAATAAACAAGAATGGAAGGATCGATCATGAAATTTCCAACAGGATTAAAAAGGCTAATGATGTGTATTACAGCTTATGCAATACAGTCATTGGGAAAAGGGAGGTAGAGAGGAATGTAAAAATGCATATTTTTAAAGCGGTATATCTACCAACCGTTACATATGGGAGTGAAAGCTGGGTCCCATTAACCAAACACCTTAACAGCGTTACTGCTATTGAAATGAAATATATTCGAAGGGTAGCCGGCAGAACCAGGAGAGACCGGATCAGGAATGAAAAAACAAGAGACGACCTAGACACTGTCTCACTAAAGGATTCTATAGAAAAGAGGCAGCTGAGATGGTTTGGCATGTATGCCGAATGAATAAAGACGGTGACCCACAAAAATTCATGGAGGCGAGACCTGTAGGAAAGTGCCCAAGAGGAAGACCCAGATTGGGCAGAAAAGAGATATGAGGGATCTAGCTCAGGACCGAAATGCTTGGGATGCATGGATCGAGGCACCTCCACGCTGAGGTAGAGAAAGAAGAAGAAGAGTTTTGAATATGGATAAGGATGGTGCATGGCGGATTTTAAGCAGGATAGAATTCCAAACAATGGCGGAACAGACAATAAAGGAGTGTTGAAATGAAGATCTGTGGAAAGGGGTGTAAAGGTCAGAAGGACGAGATCTTATGGAGAGGGAGTGGATAGATGATTTAAATTGAAGGAGATTCTATACATAGGACGGGTGATAATTGTTAATTATTTGGTAAAGGAACCGTTGAGAGATGTGGTCAATATGGTGATTCCAGCAGAGGGCTTGGTCAATGAATGCCAAGGTTTTTAACTGAGGAGCTGAAGGTGATGGTATGGTCATTTAAGTACAGAATAGGAATGTTGGAATTGGATTTGAGGAGGGGTTTGAAACCAATGACAATGGCCTGAGTTTTATCAGAGTTTAATCTTAATCCACTTATGTATGCCCAGGCGCTGATGCGATTTAGATCTTCTTGAATTTTGGCCAACACATCATACAACTCAGAGAGAGAGGGAAGGAAAGGTAAATTTGGGAATCATCGGCATAGAGGTGATGGAAACAGAGGAGGATTGATTAATGGAGGTCGTTGATATAGGAACTAAAAAGAAGAAGAGATATGCTAGAGCACTGGGCCACTCCTGAGAACAGAGTAAGATAGAAAGTCAAAGGTTGATTAGGGATAGGGACAGCTTATGAACTTCGAGAGGGGAAAGACTAAAACCTAACAATAGCGCTGTTCGAAAAGGATAATGATTTTAATTTGGAAAAGAGGATGGAATGGTTAATGGTATCAAAGGCTTTGGAAAAGTCAAGGAGAACAAGGACAGTTATTTTTATACCATATATAGCAGACTGAATATCACTAATGATTTTAATTAATACAGATTGTGTAGAGTAACCTGGTCAAAAACCAGAATAGAAAGAGTCGAGTTGAATGTTCAAGGAAATTGAAAACTTGGGATTGCACTATTCTTTCCAGGGATCTTGAAAGGTTGGGAAGGATCGAAATTGGACGGAAAGCTTTGGGGAAAAAAGGGTTAGAATTTTTATTCAAAGGACAAACAGAGGCTTTCTTCCATGAGGTAGGAAATACTGAGTTTTGTAGGGAGAAATTATATATGAAAACGAGAACAGGAAGGATTTCATAATTTGATTGATTTGGCAAGAATGGGATCTGGACCAATAGAATTGGAATATGATTTCATCACGGCGGATATGAGTTCTGTGGGCAAGATGTATGAAAAGTAAAAGTCGTCGTCGTTGAAAGATGTACCAGGAGAAAAGAAGGAAGAGGTAAAAGGAGGAGTGGAAGAGGAAACAGATATAAAATATATGTTTATATCATCTGGTGAAACTGGAAAGACTGCTGAGGGAGGGGATCTGGAAGTTTCACAGAGGAAGAGATTACGATAGGAGTAGCCATTTGGATTTGGAATCGGGAACTGATGAAAGGACTTCATGGAAATAGGTCACTTTGGATCGTCGGATTGTGGTTTGTGTCAGGTTGGGGAGCACCCTAAACGCTTGATAGTCCTTCGCCAGCCTAGTACGTCTAAAGCGTCTATGGGCAGCATCACGTCATTTCTGGAGATCCTTAATTTACTGACACATTCGGGGAGCAGGACGGCGATGAAAGGTAGAGGTTTTGAGAGGAGTGTCAGCTTCAAGGATATTAATAAGATTGGAGGTGAGGATATCCTCCATGGCATCAATTAAGGAACAGCAATATAATCTATTCTAATCTAGGGTTTTCAGGTTGGGTAGGATTTCATCTCATGTAAGGTCATCAAGAATATGGAAGGTTATGGTTCTAGGTAGGATCGGAGGAGTTTGGGTATTGTATGATATTTGGATTAGATCATGAGAAGATAGAAAGGAGACTGGTAATTGGGAAGAGGAATGAGGTTCTGAGCGGAGTCAATAATGTACCGGTCCAACCAAGAGTCAGACCTGGCGGTGTGATGAGTAGGAAAAAAGAGGAACGATGAAAAGGTGAAGAGGAAAAAAAAGGTTTTCAAGATATGATTTATCGCTGGAGTCGGAAAGGAAATTGGTGTTTAAGTCACCAGAAATGATTATTTTGGAATAAAGGTGAACAAAGTTGAAGAGGGATGATTCGAAAAAAGGATCAAATTGAACAAGAGGACGATATACTACAGTGTAGAGGAGAGGAGAGGTGCTTTTTGCTTGTTTTTTCATGATACGATTTTAATATGGATGATAGTAGTTTTCTTAAATAAAATTTTATATGATAAAAACTAGAGAAGAAAAAGAGAGTATAACAATTTTTTTATTAATTTAAGAATGATAGTAGCAGAAAAGAAAAATTACAATAAAATTAAATATTTAGTAGAGTAATCAAATGAAGGTACCTGGAGCATTTGAAAATGGGCTTATCAGTTCAATCTTTTTGAACTGAGATAGTGACTGATTCAAATCTTGAAGAGCATTTGATAGCCAAAATGATGAATCATTAGTAAATTGGCGTCTAGAATCCCTGTTGTGTAATAATCTAAGCAGACTTACAATTTGCTGAAATTAAAACAATAGAAAAATTCTCATACATTAGATAATTTTAATTATTTAAGGCATCAAAATTGTTTGGTTACTTAAATAGCTAAACATTGACTTAATGAATTCAAAAATTGTGATTAATTATTAGAAAAATAGAATGCATATATACAGCATTGAGTAAATTAAATACTTATTATACATCATTACTATATTTCTAAAAATTGGTTTTATAAAAGAAAATGTCTGATCTATGCAGAGGAAAATAAAAGTAAAAAATATTACGAGGAAAACAGAAAAATCTTATTTGAATAATAATTGCAAAAACCTTTATGAGAAGGGAATCAAGTATAAAATTTCTGTGAATGTTAATTTAAAACAAATTTATTGAAGGAAGTTTATCGACTGTTCTACATATCATGGGTGATAAATATTCAGGACCCAGTCATTATAAAGTTTTTATTGGTGCCGACGTTTCAACCCAAACATGTCGATCATCAGCAGGGCTGAAAAATTGTTAATACATTCAGAGATTTCAAAAAATTGATTGATGATACATGAAATAGACAAATGAAATATGTAAAAAGTTATATAAACTAAAAATAATGAATATAATGAATTTATAAAAAATGTAATATTCACTTTTACTAAGCGTATTTTGATCACTGAAGGTGAGTATTACTCAACTATCGACCTACCGATTCTGATTACGTTACTCAGATATTCAACTTGCCCGAATCTGAGTATTTTACTCAAACAGCTTACCTGCGCCACTTAAAGTACTTCACCCACGATCAATTACAAATTATAGTTTTAAGTACCATATGCCTATAGTTAAATATATAAATTATATTAATAGATGTGTCATTGTTCTAATTACATAAATATTGTTAAATATAGACTTTTGATTGTTTACCTCGTTAACAAATTTCGGATATCTTTTTTAAATAATATCAACATTACGATCCCGCTATACGAACACATCTATTTAAAATTATCATAAACAGTTTTATAATATGTTGTAATATATACCTTAATTGAAAGTTGTTAAAAATGATTTAATAAATTAATGTAACAGTTAAAAAGCAAGCTAATCTAATTTCACTAGTTCAGAGAAAAGAGAATGGCTACTCTGTAGTTTCCACAAAAAGGAAAATCCCAAAGAGGCGAGGAACAAAGGTTTTTGTTTTGGCAAGCAGTTGTTTGGCTGCAGTGAAGAGAGAATAGGAGAAGGGATCCTGGCTCCAGTGGGTAAAACCCAGTAATAGTATTACCATCTTGGAAGTTGTTTGGCAGAGAGACTAGTTGTTTGGAATTACAGGAGAGAGGATCTCCCAGGGAGCTTAAGTTAAGTAGAAGAAAGTGTCACCATTTTGGAAGATGTGTGTTGGAAATGTTAGAAGACAAATAAATTTAGTGCAACAAAAGAAGAAACAGTATTATAGAAAACGAGTTAGCTTGCCAATCCATACTTGAGTTTATTTTAAAATTTATTTTATTTTTATTATATTTTTTATTAAAGTTTATTTTGGCCGGGCTATACCCCCCTATATATATTATGGTCCAAAGCCTACTATATGCCAATAACATCATTCTGATTGCGGACACGAAAGACAAGCTACAGCAGGCCCTTTAGAATGGCAGGAAGAACTCCTCCGCAAAGGTATGATTATCAATAGCTCCAAAAGCAAAGTCCTAGTTATATTAAGAGATGAACAAGAGGACGTCCAGCTGATCTGTAACGGTGAGGTAATTGAAGTTGAGCAAGAATTTACCTATTTGGGTACAATTATCAGCAACAAGGGGAAGATTGACTAGCGAATAGGATATCAAAAGCCAACCAGGTATATTACCCTATCATCAACAGTATAGTAGGACACAAGGAAGTTGGCAAGGAAACAAAAACGCACATATGCAAGTCAGCATACCTCCCAACCATCATGTATTGAAGCAAAAGCTGGCCAAGAAATGAGGTGGCTTAGTGGGGACCGAGAGGCATGGCTGCATTGGATAGAGGGTCCTCGACGCTAGGAATGGCACGAAGAAGAAGAAGATTTTGAAAATTATGTGAAAGAAATCAGAAAAACTCAAATAAGTCAAAACGTAGGGGCAAAATCTCAAAATGGACATCATTTTCAAAATCCACAGCTCCAAAAACATATAAATAGACCCTGATATAGAAGAAATCTGAAAAACTCAAATAAGTTAAAACACAGTGATGTAATGTCAAAATGGACATCATTTTCAAAACCTACGGCTCCGAAAACATATAGATGGGGAGCAAATGGGTAGGGTAACAGGAGGGCTGGAGAGGGAAATGGGTGCGAGAATCTCCACCACTCCTTGCGGAATGATCAAGCAATAGTGCCTTACCCACTGCTTGTGACTTTCCAGTCCTCCCTATCTCTATCAATGCCTACTGTCACCTCCTTATGGTGCCCCTGGGGAGTACGATGGGACTCGTGAACGACAGAGACAGGGATCCACACGTCTTTCCTCTAATCTAGAGGGCGGTTGTGTGGATCCTTCTACGACACCCATGCTAGGTGGAGGGAGCTCAAGCCGTGGCTGAAAGGCAGGGGGTGTCTTAAATAAATATACACTGTCAATTCGACCAACTTGAGACACCTGGTGTACCCTGTAGTGACTTTTTTCCACCCCTATACTTGTGGGAACAATATACAATCTCCACATAATTTAAACCGGATATTAATAGAATTGTTAGAGAAGGAAGTTGGGTATTTCTGAGGGGCCATTGATGGACAATTGATGGACCCTCTTGAGGACAATTCAAGAAGCTCGACTGAGACTATCTCAGTCCAAGTTTTCAAGCTCTCTGTAATGACAGAGGAGGCTAAGGGTCTGGCTTGTGGAACTGGTGTCCCACCAAAACCCAAGTTCTCTGGTGCATAGAGAAGATAATATAAATGGATCAAGGGGCTCAAGGCAAAGTCTGGGACTGAGCTACCGGCTGCAAAGGCACCAATTAGTGAAGAGCGCAGGCTAGTTACGATGCCCACCAGATCCTTGCTGGGGGAACTCGATGCCTGCGGCGAAGAGGGCCAGAAGCGGGGAGGCTTGTGCAATTTCCTACGCTCTAGTGGTGGGGGCAGTAGGGGGGGTGGCAATTATCCCTTGTGGATATCCATCCGTCCAGCTTACCAAGGAGCAGAGAGAGATCATCAAATCTGTTGATCGGCTGGAGATGGGTGGCATCATCCATATGGTGGCAAACCTGAGTTTAGTGGCTTTATAGCCAACATCTGGGGGGATGTATCATTGTTTGTGATGATCAAGCCTCTCTCAGGGATACGCTGATGATACCGCTGTACTAATAGGAGTAAATTTCCAGATATTATCTCTGGACTACTTGAAAACACTATGAGGCTTCTGAAAGAATGGTACCAGGAAAATGGCCTTAGCATAAATCCGCAGAAGATAAATCTATGTATCTTCACTAACAGAAGGAATATCAATATTAGAACACCGTCACTAAATGGGTCAACATTAACTAACTGTAGTTATGTCAATGTTATTATATAATGTCAATATTATTTAAAAAATAAATTCGAAATTTGTTATTAGTAATAGGTAAACAATTAAAAGTCTATATTTAACAATATTTATGTAATTAGAACAATGGCACATCTGTTAATATAATTTATATATTTAACTGTAGGCATATATTAGTAAATTCTCAGATCTGGGCAAATTGAATAACTGAGTACTGTAATCAGAATGAGGAGGTCAATAGTTGAGTAAATTACTTGAGACTCAGTACTCACTTTGGTATTTGCCCATCTCTATCCCATGTACAGGAGTCATAATGGTATCAGCATTGATGTCAAAGGAAAATCATTAGAATAATTTTCAATTTTAATTAATTGTATTATATTGTTTTACCAGGAAATAATAAAAATAGAAAACACAAAACCGTACCTCCAGAAGGGTTCTCCAGGCCAGGGTATTGAATTCCACATGTTTTGTAGGAGTTAAAACATCAATTCGTTGTTCAACACCATGCATGGTAATAGAGGGAAAAGCTAATGATATGATTCCCACAGCAACTTCCTTTAATATTTTACAAATAGAAACAATTTCATTTAAAGTGAAAGTAGTTCCTTCTCCTCCTTCCGGAAATAACTCTAGAAAAAATGTAATCTTTAAAATAAAAATTATAGTTTCCAATCCAAAAAATCTATATTTTTCAAAACAAGATATAAAACTGACATTTATGTATTAATTTTTTCCAATCTTAAAGTTTATTTTAAATATTGTATTCTAAAAAAAATTAAGTCATAGACTTGTTTAATAGATTGTATGTATATTTTTGGTTTATTATTTTCAATAATGAACCATTGTGATCGAACAGAAAATTAAAAAACTTAACCTTTTCTCAAAATTTGAGGTTTTACTTTTCGGGATACATAGAATTGGAAAAACGAATACAAATTTTTTTGTCCGTCCGCCTTTTATGGTCAGCTCATTTTCTCCGAAACTACTGGACCGATTTTTTTGAAAATTTGGATTTAAAATTAGAGGCCACCCAAGGATGATCCTCCTTTATTGACATTTCTATTCGCCTTTTCCTTCTTTTCTCAAGATGGCGACCTAAAAACCTCCGTTGCTGTAGATTGTAGAGCCTAAACGAATGCACTGATTTCAATGAAACTTCGCTAAAGTCTTTTTCTTGATGCCCTTTCAATTTATCTATATAACATACTTCAACGAAAAAAAGCTGGAAAAAAAGTTACGAGGGATGGCAAAATTAGATTACAAATAACTCAAAAAGTATACAATTTTTTGTTAATATTGTATGTAGCTATTTAAAATTTTACAGAATTTCCTAAAAAAAAATAAAAAAATCATTAAAATCGTACAATTAGGAGCAAAGATATGGTCTCTAGATATTTTATTATATGCTCTACTGCAAAGGTTATATCCTTTGTTTTGGTTTTTGATTTTTGCATGTGTTACTGAAGTAATGCTAATTTTTTTAGCATATTATTAATGATTACAAAAAAAAAAAAATGTTTGGTCCAATAATTGGAATCACCTTTTATTTCAGAAAGGTAATGTTATTTTAGATGTATAATTGTTTGGAAATAATAAAGCATTATGAAATAATTTGCAGCGTTTTTAAAGTGAAAATTCAAAAAGAAAAATTACTACATATTATAGATGGTTAGTAATTTTTTAAATATTGCTGACCTCTTGACAGGCATTAAAATAAAACTAACTAAATTAAAGAATTAGAGAACCTTTAAAATTTTGAGAAAAACATTTAATATTTATGCTTGAAGCATCAGAAACGTTCTAGTCAGGCATATTATATATGTGTATATATGTATGTATGTACATGTATGTATATACAAACAGAATCAAGAATCCAGAAGCAAACAGAATTCTTATTAAGACTCATGCTGTTAGGTGAGCATGCTCTGTAGGAAAACAACATGTGGAGACTATGTACTAGTGTACATACACTAGTCTACAAGACCAACTGTACTACAGATGCCCCACTTTTATAAAAACTTCTTCGTTTAATAAGCTTTAGGTCTATGTTAATGAAGTTGAGGTTTACTTGGGAAAAACTTGAGATTCACCTCAAATTGTGTAAAAAAATGATGTGATTTTTTATCCTATCAAGTAAAAGTATCCCCATTTTTAGCAAAAATTACTACAAAGATTGTTGCAAAGCTTTTATTTCTTGTTTTTCCATGATCTGGGACGTATTATAATAAACATAATTGCCTAAATACACTTTTTATTTACAAAAGTAAATTTAAATAATGATATTTTTTAGATAAAGTGAATATGTAACAATGTTTCTTGCCGAGATCTACATAATAGGAATTGATTTGTATTAGTAAGCGACAAACTAAATGTTCCAGATCCTAATATTTACTTTTTCATGAAAATAATTGAAGCTATCAGCATGTAGCGAACAATTAGTTCATCTGTCTGCTACATGGTACCGCCACATGAACACTCAAGAATTGTACCTACAAGTGATATTTTTATTTATTATTATTTTAATGTAAAAAAAATTAGTTCTAAATTGTAAATATGTATATACATTGTGAATATGAAACACAAGTAATTGCAGAAATAATTTTTTTATTTAATTTTACAAATTTTATGTCTGATTTTAATTCTTTCACCATAAATTTCTTTAACATTAAAAAGCGGTTTTTTGCTAAAATCATTTTTGCTACTTTAGGGATCAAGGAAAAATGATTTAAATAAAATATTTCTTACTTAAGATTAACTTTATCACTAACTTTTAGTCAATTAAACGAATGTCAAACTTACAAGCAGTTTTAGTTCAAACAAATATTATAATAGCAACATAAGATAAATAAATCAGAATAGATGAAGAAATGTTGAATAACTGGTAAACATTAACAAAAAAAAAAAAAAAAATAAGACTTCATTGATGATAGAATATTAACACCAAAAAGTATCAGACCAAAATGTATCATTGCACAATAATATTCATCCATCTATCATATTTTGCAATCATTTATTCTACAGAGTTTTGAACAAAAATAACAATGTTGACTATTCTCTAACAGCATAGACAAAGCATAATAAGAAGTAAGTTGAAAACATTAATGTTCAGATAATTAATACATATTTTGAAATACTTACCAATAATTCAATCAAATCATAGAGTAAATAAGAAACTTAAGCTTAAAAACAATATATGTAGAAAATATTTTGGATCATAAATAGCCAGGATTTCCGGTGTTATTTGTTATCATTGGTGCCAATGTTTTGATCCAATTCCATGGGTCATCACAAGGGCTAAAATAAAAACAAATATGTGAGAGATAAAGTAAGTGTGTATTAAAAAAAAAAGAAGAAAATAAATAACAAAAGAGGAAAAAATAGATGGTAAAAATAAATTAATAAAATATAAAATGATGAAGATGCAAATAATAATAAAAATATACCTAGTGACAAAAATACATGAAATGAATCTAAGGGACTCTAAAACCAAAATTTAAATATCTTAACACAATAGTATTAAATGAGAATATAAATCAGAATATGATTTAATAAGTATGTTCAGATGGGTGGTGCATGTAGCTCGGAGCAATCGATCTGGAAGCCTTTACACGACAATGAATGCCTCAATAGTAGGCAAAAGACCACATGGAAGGCCAAAAAGCAGATGAATAGTTTAAATCAACAAAGATGCAATAGAGTTGCATGCAGATAACTAAAAAGAGATATCCCAAGATAGACAGAGATGGAGTTAAGGGGGCAAAAGATCTACAAAGTCTGTAATGGCAACAGAAAAAAAAGGATGTTCGGAGCAGATGGAATAAATGTTATAAATAGACAAATTAGTAACTCTTATAAGAAAGAGAAACACAATAATATTGCACAGCTGCTCAATTGTGTTGGGTTGCTAAATCACACAACACACTCAACAATCAACCGATAATATAAAAAAAAAAAAAATAATAATATTAAATTATTTGTTAATAACTAACCAAGAGATTTTGGTTAATAGTTAATTTAAGCCCCTGTCATTGTATTCAAATTTTGGTTTTAAAATTATAAAGATTCATCTCATGCATACATGCCATTAGTTGTATCTCTATCATTATTTGTATCCTAACCATTTAATTTATCCTGAATTTATTTGTATCATCTATCTTTATCACTTTTGTTATTCATTTACTTCTTTACTTTTCCTACTCACTTACATTATCTCTCATATTTCTGATTTTAGCTCTAATGACCCAAAAGCTAGGGTCGAAACTTCAGCACCCATAATAAAAATATGATTAAAAATACTGACATTATATCATCCAAGATAACCTTCAAACAGACAACTACCATTTATTTCTGTGAATTTCTTAGATAAATTTATCAAGCAATGTTTAGGTTAGGCATCAACACTGAAACATAAATAAAAAAAAAATAATATAAACCTTCTTCATACAGGAGTTCGTCACTTAATAGAGAAATATGGTTTTTCAGTAAGAAGCAGAACATTGTTAAAGCAGGTATAATTTTATCGGCTTCAACAGGAGTAATGACAACACCGCTAGATAGCATACTCAAAACAGTTGCACTGTAAACTGGAGAGGAAAAACTTAGAGTTCTTTTCTCGGTGTTAATATAATTCCACGATGCTTTCATAAAACATGGCTGAAATGCTACCTTTCTGATCAACCTAAAACGTAAAATTAAAACAATAATATAAATAATAAAGGCAGCCAAAGCTACAAAAAATGTGCTTGAATTAATATATTAAAATACAAATTGAAGTAGGAGTAAATACAACATAAAAAATCAATAATGCTGGTTCCAAACCTTGGTTTTCAACAGACAATTTTTCTTTGATTGATAAATAAAACTAAAGGAGAATTATCTTCTTTACTCCCATTTACCTCCATAATTCATAACTATAATGGTGTTTAAACAGCTATGACAGTGAGTATAACTGTCTGATGAAAAATATTATCAAGCATTGGTGTATATAGTGTTAGAAAAATTATTAATCTTTGTAATTGTAGAGTGGGATAGGAAGAGTTAGAAGTGAGAAAGATGATCATTTCATATTTAACATTTAATCTACGTGAACCAATGTGAAATACAAAATAAGAATCAACTTTTAATTATTTCTTACAATGAAAAGCAATTTTAAAAACCTAAAACATGCCGATGAGAAATTCCAATACAATGAAGGCTCCAGACAGATGAAAACTGAGAAGATACAAAAATACCTTATTAAAACATTACTATCTTAGATGAACAGATGATGAAATGATATAACAAGATATAAAGAATAGATTAACTAAAGTAACAAGCGTACCTCAACGGTTATTCATGGGTGTGAAGACTTTGCCTTGAAAAAGGTAAATTATAGTTGTTTATGGCAAAAATGGTTTGAATTTCCTGCGTTACAGCGAGTGATGGGGGCAGATCAGACGATCTGAGAGATAACACTTAATCTCAAGAACAGCTGGTTTCTCGAGTCACTTCTTCACTTGCAGTCACCCTGGTCACACCACCGGCACCTGAGGGCCCTCAATGTAACCAAAAGATGTAAGCTGGCATAAAGACGGTAAGCTATGTTTTACACAATCATTATAACCTACCAATCCATTAAGATACAGTCCACTGCATAAAAGTAGAATGTTGACAATAATTTTGAATGTTGCCTTATAGAAACTCATGAGAGTTATTCGCCTTAATTAGAAAAGTTGTGGCGTAGGGAGGTGGAAGTCCCATCGCCCGGTCATTGTACCGCAACCAGCCACTGGCCCTCCAGGTTGGGGGAACACTTACATGAACACTCACACACCAAGTACACTTTATACAGCACACTACAACACCTAAACACTACAGACAAAGGTCACCTACAGTACACACCTTAGGGTCACCTTCCCTAGGTAGCCGCCCCGGATGGGGGAGCTAGTCAGGATGCTTGGAGGAGGCAGTCCCTCTACCTGACTCGGGGGCAGTGGGCTGATAACCCACCCCCCCTAAAGTACCTTATTACGAAACCTCAAAGAGAAGAAACTGGACTGAATTACGGTAACAGACCCAGGAAACGCCTAAATGACCTAAGAATTGGGTTTTAGGAACATTTTATCATTACATAGACTAGGAGCACTTCATGCGCTCCTTGCAGAAGTGGACACATACAGAATCGACATAGCAGCTATCCAAGAGATCCGATGGATAGGACAGGGAATTATGGAGAAGAAGTACCATACACTCTACTATAGCTGCCACGAAAAGCATCACATCTTCGATACCGGATTTGTTGTGAGAGGCAGAGCTCGACAGCTAGTGATGCGATTTACTCCCATTAACCAAAGGTTATGCTACATTCGGCTTAGAGGAAAATTTTTTTAATTTCTCTCTAATCAACTGCCATGCCCCAACAGAGGTGTCACCTGAGGAGGATAAGGAAACATTCTATGAAGAACTTGGACGCGTGACAGAAAGCTGCCCCAAAAATGATGTTAAAATCATTCTTGGTGACTTTAACGCCCAAGTTGGTAAGGAGGTGGCACTCATGCCGACCATAGGAACCCACAGCTTGCATGAGACCAGTAATGATAATGGGCTACGGATGGTGAACTTTGCTACATTGCACGGACTGGTTGTTGGAACAACTCTTTTTCCTCAAAAGAATATCCACAAAGCAACATGAATCTCTCCAAATGGGCAAACAACATCACAGATAGACCATGTACTCATTAGTGCCCGTCACAAGTCCAACATGATAAATGCAAGATCTTATAGAGGTGCAAATATGGACACGGATCACTATTTGAGCATTGCCGAGGTCAGATCACGAATTTCGCTGATTAAAAACCACCACCAACGACCAAAGAAGAAGATTGATGTAGCTAAACTTAAGGACTCAGACCACCAATATTCGTATCAACAAGCTGTGGAGACGATACTTAATGAAGAAGTAATTAATGACAGCTCTATGGTCGATGAACAGTGGAAGAGATGCAGCAACGCAATGAAACAGGCAGCAGAGGAATCTCTTGGCTACGAGACTAAATCTAGAAGGCCCCCATGGTTTGATGCTGAGTGCCTTCAAGCAGTAAAAGTGAAAAATGAAGCCTACAGAAAGAAGGTTCAGCGTCCCACAAGGCTCTCCCAAGAAACATATAGAAGAAAAAGACGCGAAGAGAAGAGATTATTCCGCGGAAAGAGAAGAGCTTGGGGAAATAAGAACATGGAGGACACAGAGGCACTGCGCGGCCAAAATGAAAGTCGGCTGTTCTTTCAGAGAATAAACGAGGGTAGGGCAGCTTTCAGGCCCAGAGTGACGGCATGCAAGGACACGAATGGAACTCTTTTAAGCCACAAAGATGAAGTACTAAGGAGATGGGTACAACATTTCAAAGACGCATTAAACAGAGGAACGGTGCCTGGAGAAGTAGGAGTAATGAAGGAAGACTCCCTGAATTCTATTGAACCCCCGGATGAGGAGGAAATGGAAAACGCCCTGAGGAAATTGAAAAATGGAAAGGCGCCAGGCCCGGACGGAATCCAGACAGAGCTGTGGAGGTGAAGAACTTAAGAAAGCTCTGCATGATTTAATGCTGACCATCTGGGAGAGGGAAGCTATGCCTACGGAATGGGCAACAGCCATTATCTGCCCAATACATAAGAAAGGAGATCAAACAGAATGCGCTAACTATCGAGGAATCTCACTCCTTTCGTGTGCTTATAAGCTGCTCTCTAACATTCTTTTTGAGAGGATCCTCCCGTATTCTGAAAAGGAACTGGGGAAATATCAGGCTGGATTTCGAAGAGGACGCTCAACCACTGATCAACTGTTCTCTCTGAGGATGATCCTAGAAAAGACTATGGAGCGTAAGGTAGTCACCCACCATTTATTCCTAGACTTTAAAGCAGCATACGACAGCGTTGATAGAACGCAACTATACTGTGCCTTGGAGGAGCTAAGCATCCCTCAGAAGCTCGTACGCCTAATCAAGATGACCATGGACAGCTCGAGATGTAGAATACGCGTCGGTTCTGACGACTCCGAAGAGTTTAAAGTGAGCAGTGGGGTTAGGCAAGGGGATGCCCTCGCCTGTCTATTGTTCAACTTGGCAGAGGAGAAAGCTGTAAGAGACTCCGGTATTCAGACCAACGATATAATCTTCAATCGCCTGACACAGCTTCTTGGTTTTGCTGATGATATTGACATAATAGGTAGGTCTGAACGGGCTCTCAGAGAAGCGTTTATAGGCCTTGAAGCAGCTGCAAGACCACTTGGTCTAGAAGTCAACGAGAGGAAAACTAAGTATATGAGAGTTGGTGGTGAGGTGGATCTGAACTCTCCATTTGAGGTAGGTTCTTTTAAGTTTGAGAGAGTGAAAAGTTTTGTATACCTTGGGTCTGAAATTAATAGCAAAAATGACATGGCTCAAGAAATACAAAGAAGGATCACGGCTGCCAATAGATGTGTCTTTGGACTTGGCCGACACTTAAGAAGTAGGTACCTCTCAAAGAAGACCAAGCTGATCATATACAAGACCCTTGTTCGGCCTGTTTTGACATATGGCTCAGAGGCTTGGACGATGACTAAAAACGATGAGATGAAGCTGAGTGTGTTTGAGCGAGGAATCCTCAGAAGGATTTATGGTCCAGTAAAGGAGGGTGATGTCTGGAGGAAAAGAAAAAATAGGGAGCTCAGTTCTCTCTATACAGACATCGACGTAGTCACGTATATTAAACTGGCCAGACTAAGGTGGGCAGGGCATGTGGCCAGAATGAGCACCGTTGAAATACCAAAGAAAATAATGATGGAGGAGCTGCACCTCGTAAGACGGGTAGGAAGGCCGAGGACGAGATGGTTGGACAACGTGGCCTATGATGCGAGAACCCTGCTTGGTGTACGGAACTGGAGAGCTGCAGCAGAAGACAGAGCCAACTGGCGGAGGCTCTTGGAGGAGGCCCAGTCTCGGTAACGGGATGTTGTGCCACATATGATGATGATGATTAGAAAAGTTGCCTAAACAATGGTAGTGAATGAAATGTAAGTTATTTAACTACAGTAACATTCTAAACAAATTTTGTGCATCCAACAATATTGTATGTGTCCAAACAAGAAATATATAGAGTTGGAATTATTATTATTTTATTTTATTTTTTTTATTCATTCATGATATTTTCAACTGTATTAAAAAAAAAAAAAATACATCCAGTAAATGTGCACTCAGGAATATAATAACATGAAAACGCTTGTTGAGAAACTACCCACTGGTAGCACTCAAATAATGAATTTACACAAGATCATGAAGCCACCTTCTTTTCAGATGCCTCAGAGGGTTATCAGGGATTGAGGAGGAAGCAAGGTTTGAAATGAAATGGTTCTGAAGTTTGTTATGGAAGAATATGTATATGGATCGGGCCAAATCGTTAACATATGGAACATTAAGGTCGTTATAGGTGATTTTATTTGTGATAAAGTAAGGAATGTTGAGGATTTTATGAAGCATTTTGGATTTTAAGGACTGGATACAAGAGGAATTCGATAGTTTAGTGCAGCCCCAAAGTTCAATTCGGTAAGTCCAAATAGGTCTTATTATTGTCATGTACAAGAGTCTTTTGTAATTGATTGAAAGCTTAGAGCGTTTGTCTAGTAAGTGCTGGAGTAGTCAGAAACATCGAGTGATATCTTGTCATTTCAGTCTTGTATGAGGATTCTATGTGAATCATTTGTCCAGGTGAAGTCCTAGGTAACGGATTTGTTCAACTGGGATAAGTGGAGAATTGTTAAAGGATACTGTAGGAAAGGAGGTCATACGTTTGTAACGTCAGGTAAAGGTAATTTGATGGAATTTATTTTAATTCTCCAGTTTTGACACCATTCTTCTAGATTTATGATGTGTGATTGAAGCATTTGGGATGCAATTGCTGGGTCATTGTTTACTGATAGGATACATGTGTCATCGGCATATGTGGTGATGACAGTGTCAGGATGGATTGGGATGTCAGCTGTATAAACTGTGTAAAGGATAGGACTCAGGATACTACCTTGAGGAACATCATCAGACTGGGAAAAAAGGGATGAATAAAAGTTGTTGTGATTAACTTTAAAGCATTGATCAGTATGGTAGGAAAGGATAATGAGGAAATATTTTTTATTTATTTATTCCTCCCTTCCGTGCCTTTCGGCTACATGGGATTTTGCAGGGATGACATACCACACACATACATGCCATTCCTGCTTTCAAACGACAAATTCATTATCAATTTTATTTTGTTTGACACTTTTGAAATGTTCGCCTTTTTAAATATTGCGAGTCAGTTTTGCTAATTTCAGAAAAGGGCTTCAGTGCTTCAAATATATATATATAATCATAAAGAGAAATAAAATATAAATAAATCATAAAGAGCAATGAAATATATATAAATCATAAAGAGCAATAAAATATATATAAATCATAAAGTGCAAGAGAGAGAACTACAATAATAATAATGCACCGGCTGCATAACTGCATTGAGTTGCTCAACTACACAGCGTACTCATCAATTAACCGATAATATTGAAAAACATTAAAAGAGGGTTAGGTCATACCACTGGAACATACAACAAATATGCCAAGAACGGTTCACAGAATCAAACAAAGGCCAAGATCAATATCTGTGGTGATGGAGGATTCCTAAAGAGTCTAAAATAATAGTTTCTATCATGGTCTGCATGTTTGATATGCCCTTCCAACACTGAGCCTCTGCAAAAAACTACTTGTAGTGAGAGGGATGTTTCCCTCACTTCCAAACCATAGCCCTTTACGGTTATGGTTATGGCCCCTTATGAATTCTCTCTTGCCAAATTCATCTCTATACTTTTCCTTCAGGTAAGGTATGCATTTTGTATAAATTTCCTCTTTCTCCGCCTGTACCTTGAAGTCCTGATCCTGATCGTTGGTCTCAAATCTGATCTTTGGATCTGATCTTCTTAGCATTGAACGCCAAAATTTTAATGAACCTTGTCGAGCCTTCTGTACCCATGCAATAAACTTCGAGTAAACATTTATAGTTCTTCATTTGAAAAAACTCGGCTATACGATGCTTTGTATTATTGTGTCAGCGGGTGACAAGCAGCATGTTATGCAGACAGTTTTCCAACACATAAACTGAGGTTTCTAGCTCTCGGCCACATTTGTGGCAAAGGGATCCAACATCTCCATTAATCTGGCTTCCTGGTACTCCATGGAGAGGAGGATAATTAATATTTAATTTCATGGCATTTGCCCATTCTGAGCCGGTGAGAAATTGTCTATCATAAATGAATTTATTGGTCCATGGATTAGATTTAAAATGAGAAACACCGATTCCCTGCCACTACATTTGCTCCACTCTTCTCCCTCAAGGACTGTCTTACCTTACTAACTGTTAGTGATGGTTCTATATTAGTCATTTTGATCCCTAACAGATTAGCACACATTCTTTGTTCATCACCGAAATCGAATATCACCTGAAACAGGGCATACGTTACATTGGCTAATTTTTGAGAAATGGACCAGTGTTGAGGAGGAGCCTCCCATTGACACCACAAAAGACCTAAGCACCTGTATAGCCGTGTGTGTATATTATTGCTGAACAAGTGCTGACCAGTAAACCAACCATTGCCTTAACACTTGTTTGCAGTATGATGTCTATAGCCTCCAAGAGCAGTGGGGTATTTTATTAGCACAGATACAAAAATATCTGGCATCCTTAACAATTGATGTTCAAGATGAAATATAACATTTGGTGCTTCCAGGTAATTATGACATGAGTGACTCACCCCTCGTCCATGAAAATAAAAATATAGTTTAGGCAGAGGAAATGATACACATGAGAAATGTTGTGTATTACATTATACTACTTCAAATATAGCTCTAATTCAGTTTTTTTATTAACAGACTAGTTAATTTTCAATAATCCCCAGCATGAGGCAGGTGCTCCTTCAGGTTGGCACTCATGGGCCAGGTTGCCCTATCCTAAGGGAAGCACTAGTCACTAGCACTAGTCACTTCATATAATATATTTTAAGAATGGAAAAGAATCAATGAAAAAACCTTAGTATTTCATATATACATACATATAGATATAAAGATTTAACAATTACTTACCGATATTTATAAATAGGAGATCTATCATTCAACCATAAATGATAGATGAATTTACTAAACCAAAATAATCCATCATTGTCATTTCTTTCAATAAAACCAAGTAACAAATTTACCAATTTTTCAGTTTTATTTGGACTATTAATCAGACAGAGGCATTCATCTGAAAACTGTAAAAATTAAAATGTTTTATGCAAAGTAATTGATGTTAAAAGTTTTAAGAGGACAAAAACAGTTACATAAAAATAAAACTTACAACTTAATTTATAAAATGGAGGAAAAACATCCTTTCCATAGTGATTAAGTTTATAAATGTGGAAACAAATAAAATATACCATTAAAACTAGATAATAGTGTAATAATATGGGAAATCCATTAATGCTTGCTAATATATATATTTTTTAATTATTTCTTTCTTCTTATTTTCAAGGGTATTTTTACATGCTTTACAAAGGGAATAGTAATATATATATGAGAAGGAATTAGTCGAGGGTGCGGTCAAAAAAAATAAAAAAATTAAAATATATAAATAATTTTAATTTTTGCCGACGTTTCGACCCACTTTGCAGGTCGTCTTCAGGGCTACAAAAGATACAAACATGTTGAAAATATAGAAATAAAATAAAAAATAAATATAAGTATATATAAATTACGAAGAAGTTGTCAGATACAGAAATAAAAGATAAAGAAAATAAATACATGATAAGAAAATAGATAAAAGAAAATAAATACATGAATGTTAACGAATAAATGAATGTTAACGAATAAATAGATTGAAAATTGAATAACTATTGTTACAGTAAAGTTAAAATATGGATAAGATAACATAATAATAAGATATCAGTGGATAACAAGCAAGTGGAGGTTACCTTTAATTGTAAATAAACAGATAACGGGACCAAAGGTTAAGAAGTGAAGAAATTGAAAGATTAATAGGGTAACATTAGTGTAATATTGTTGGGATAGATTATTAAGTATAAATAACTCTATAAGAAAACAATAATTTTAAAAGAATACTTTAAAATGTAAGAATAAATGTAAAAACAAGGTTATGATGATAAAGAAACAAAAAACAGGTTGTACTATATATAGATGACAATTGACATTTAGTTTTTTGAAAGGGGTAATGGAATGGTAGGCTGTATGAAGATAATAATAAGGTGTATAGTTGAAGGATAGGTGTGTTAAGAAAGGAATCTCAATAAAAGTCAAAACATACCGTTGGATGTGGCACTGCGGGAGGCAGTTGAAACACTGGCAGTGTCAAAAACTCTAGTTAGCAGTGTAAAAAAAAAAGTTCTAGTAAAAATAAACGCATACATACATACACATATATACATACAAACACACACACACACACACACACACACACATATATATATATATATATATATATATATATATATATATATATATATATATATATATAAAAGGAAAAGTAAAAGAAAGTATAAATGGAAGTGAGAAGATTAAATAGAGGTTTATGATCGAGACTTTTTTAAAATGTTGATGATTTGGGAGTAGGCGAGTGATAGATTTTGCTTGTCGGTTTTTAAGTTAAGTGGTTTGTAGTCTAATTGAATGAAAACACTTTCCGTAAGTAGTCTTTTGTCGTGGTTAGGTACTGTGGCAAGAATGGAGGTATTGTCAAAGTCAAATGTGTGGTTTGAGGTTAAGGCGTGTTCAGAGAGTTTAGAAGCAGTAGAGTTCTTAGAAGTAATTGAGTATTTGTGTTGTTTGATGCGGTCTTTAAGTTGGTTTTTGGTTTCTCCAATATAGGCGGAGTTACAATTGGTGGTAGAGCAAGGAATGCAGTATACGATATTAGAGCGGTGTTGCGGAGGGATGGGGTCTTTTAGGTTGGAGTAAATATTGGCAAGTTTGTTATAGTTTTTAAAAGCAACTCGCAGGTTGGGAATAGAGGAACGTAAAGATTTTTGAATTCTATCCGAAAGTAAAGGGATGTATGGTAGAGATCTATATAAAGGAATGGGGGGCTGATTTTGAGAATTAGAGAAAGGGATGGAGGATGAGGGGCGGGTTTTGTATTCAGTAATAAGTTTTTTAATGATGTTGGAGGGGAAGTTGTTAGATAATAGTATCCGTTGTATGCGTCTAGTGTTTGTTTTATGTAGGTAAGGGTCAGATAGAGAAAAACATCGGTGAATGAGGTTTTTGGCAACGTTAAGTTTTTGGTGAAAGGGGTGTTGAGAATAGTAGTTGAGTAATCTGCCAGAGTATGTTGGTTTTGTGTACCAGTCTGTGGATAAAGTATTGTTGGGATGTCTTTTAATGAGAAGATCGAGGAAAGGGAGGGAATAGTTATCTTCGTATTCAACTGTAAAAGAGAGGCGGGGATGATATGAGTTAAAGGCGGAAAGGATGTCAGGAATAGTATCAGGATTGACGATGAGAAGAAGGTCATCGACGTATTTTTTTATAAGAAATATGTCATTAGGAAACTGTGGGGCTATGGTGTTTAGGAGATCATTAAGAACAATGTTAGATAAGTCGGGTGCGAGAGGATTACCCATAGCTAATCCTGCAATTTGATTATAAAATTGTCCATGGAACTGGAGATAACCAGATTTGCAACAAAGTTGTAGGGATTCAATAAATGATGAACGGTTAAGGGAGGTATGAGACTCTAAGGATGACCAGTTATTTTCTACTATAAGAAGGGCTTTATCTATAGGGATGTTGGTGAAGAGGCTTTTAACGTCGAAGGAGACTAGAATGTAATTATCGGGAATGGTTAGGGATAATAACAAATTACGTAGATGAAAGGAGTTGTGGATATCATATGGATTGTCATGACTAAGGATTTGTAAGGATGGGAGTAGAAATTTGCTGAGTTTTAAAGAGGGAGAGTTGATATTAGAAGTGATAGGACGGAGGGGAGTGCCGGGTTTGTGAATTTTTGTGAATTATATATAGTACAACCTGTTTTTTGTTTCTTTATCATCATAACCTTGTTTTTACATTTATTCTTACATTTTAAAGTATTCTTTTAAAATTATTGTTTTCTTATAGAGTTATTTATACTTAATAATCTATCCCAACAATATTACACTAATGTTACCCTATTAATCTTTCAATTTCTTCACTTCTTAACCTTTGGTCCCGTTATCTGTTTATTTACAATTAAAGGTAACCTCCACTTGCTTGTTATCCACTGATATCTTATTATTATGTTATCTTATCTATATTTTAACTTTACTGTAACAATAGTTATTCAATTTTCAATCTATTTATTCGTTAACATTCATTTATTCGTTAACATTCATGTATTTATTTTCTTTTATCTATTTTCTTATCATGTATTTATTTTCTTTATCTTTTATTTCTGTATCTGACAAGTTCTTCGTAATTTATATATACTTATATTTATTTTTTATTTTATTTTTATATTTTCAACATGTTTGTATCTTTTGTAGCCCTGAAGACGACCTGCAAAGTGGGTCGAAACGTCGGCAAAAATTAAAATTATTTATATATTTTAATTTTTTTATTTTTTTTGACCGCACCCTCGACTAATTCCTTCTCATATCATATCAACGGTCAACCATCTCTACATCAGTAATATATATATATATATATATTTGAGGGACCCACACAATAACGGCACCCATAAAAGAGTAGAAAATAATGAAACATCAGAAGTAAAACAAATTATTGGATATTTTATAGCTGATCATGTATATAAAAGAACTTCAAATACCGTAAACTATCTACAGTTTTGTTTAACCATCACTCCGAAACATCTCTTCTTTCTTAAAAAAAAAATTGAAAATATGTATAAAAGAGTAATATTATCAATAATTAAGCTGTAAACATACAAGGGACATTTCCATCTTGGCCAGGTGCCTTTTCGACTGGTATTTTTTGATATACCATTACTATCCACTCATAAACTTACTGTAATGAGTAAACAGTGAGAAATTTTATAACAAAAACTTCCTTTATTACAGTTTAAAATACTTACTCTGAACAAGAATCTTCATTAGGACCAATGAGTTTAAAGTAATTTTCACTATTGATAATAATGAGTGGCATAGGGAAATGGCATCCCCATCACCCAGCCGTCAGGCTGCAATCAGCCAGCCTCTAGTCTTCCTGGTAGGTGGAACATACACTACATTTTACACACAGCACACTACCTTCACCCCCACATTTCAGACTAAGGTCACTTACAGTACACACCCTAGGATCATCTCCCCTAGATGGCCACCACGGAAAGGGGAGTGTGTCAGGACATTCTGAGGAGGTAGCCCTTCCACCTGACTGGGGGGTAATAGGCTGATAACCGAATCCTCTTAAAATTGCTTATCACAAAAACTCATAAAAGTATTAAAGCCTTAAAGGAATAAGACCAAGTACCGCCAAACTGACCTACGTATAGCTTACTGGAACATTTTGTCTCTGTACCGACTAGGAGCACTTCTGCCGCTCCTTAATATTATTGATGATTACCACATTGACATAGCAGCAATCCAAGAAGTCCGCTGGCTTGGAAGTTGTACACTTGAAAAGAAATGTCACACCCTGTACTACAGCTGCCTTGAAACCCACCACACCTTCGGTACTGAATTTATTGTTAGAGGAAGAGCCAGCTAACTGGTCATAAAATTTACAGCCATCTCTACCTGTCTATGCTATATCCGCCTTAAAGGGAAATTCTTTAACACCTGTTTCATCAACTGTCATGCACCTACTGCAGTATTACCAGAGGAAGATGAAGATGGCTTCTACAAAGATCCCATGAGAGCTTTTGCGACTTGTCCCACAAAGGACGTTACGATAGTTCTGGGAGATTAAACGCACAAGTAAGCCAGAAACATGTGCACTGGCTGACTACAGGAGCTTTCAGCCAACACGAGTTTACTAACAATAATGGTCAAAGGCTGATTGACTTTGCAAACTCTCAAGGCCTAGTTGTACGAAGTACCATGTTCCCAGGAAAGAGAATACACAAAGTTATGAGATCACCAAATGGAGCCGTCTCGAATCAGATTCTGATTAGTTCTTGACACAAGTCTAACCTCATTGGAGTCAGAACTTACTGAGGAGCCAAAGCAGACACGGATCATCACCTTAGCATTGCCAGGATTGTTCTAATTCTTCCTAATTTGTTCTTCTATTTTGGAAAATACCAAACTATAAATCTTAT